ATTGCACACAACCATGCACAACTGAAAGCCAGTCCTCACTTTCCGGTAGTTGTTCAGCACTTGTTTCCAAACTGTTCTCATAGACGCTTCTATCATTTGAGCTCAAAATGGCCTTGTGTCAGGTCAGCAGAGCACACACTGCGTGCACGCTCAGTCGTGTCCAACTCTTTGCAGCCTCATGGACTTTACCCCACCTGGCTCCTCTGTCCATGGGATTCTCCAAGCAAGAATACTGGAGTGGGTTGCCATTTCCTCCTCCAAGGGATCTTCCTGACCCAGAGATCGAACTGGCATCTCCTCCCCTGCAGGTGGATTCATTATCACTGCTGAAACCTGAGAAGCTAATGCACTCTTGGAGGGCACCAATATAGAGAAGCTGACCCAATCAGGGTACCAAGCAACTTGCCCACCCAGCTGGTCTAGATGGAAGACTAAGCAGCATGCAGACGGGACATGAGAAGGGAGGGCAGGTGGACCAGGGCACAGGCCAGCTGGAGCAGAGGTCACAGGGACAGCAGACCATTTAGCCTGAGGCACAGCCCACCCTCTAACGTTTGCCAAGTGTCACCAGGCAAGACGGCTGGGCCTGCTGTTGACCCCCCTAACTTAAGAGGTTAGAAATCTGGATCTTTTATGTACAATCCCCTTCAAAAAGACTACTGGCTAATGACTGCACCCTGCCCTTCCTGAGCATATCCCAACGGAAAAGCCCACACATCCTGGGACTTGCATGCCAACCCTCACCTGGTCAGGTTCCCTGCAGTGTCTGTCTTCACATCGGCCTCTAGTACCCTACTCTGAAAACCACCTCCTACCCTTCGGTTCTTGCCCCATTGCTTCTCTGGGCCCTGTTCCTTAACTTGGTGGTCACGGGAACTTGGGGCCACCCCGCCAACCCTGCCCACCACGGCTTCTAGCTTTACCTTCTGCCCTGTCCTGAGCCTCTCCCAGGATCTGCTCTTGCCTACGTGCTGCTCACCAATCGCTCTCCGTCCCCACACCCCAGGTCAGCAGCAGCGTCTTCCCCAGGTTCAGATGACCCCTTCTGGCTCCCACCCACTGCTCACTGAAAACTGCCACTAACCTCAAATCCCCCAGGGATTCTATGCTACCCATTAGCCATTTTGGTTACAGTGTAACATGCAGGCCTAAATCCCCCTTGTCTCCACTCTTCCTACAAGCAAACCATCAGATCTTATTTCCTGGTCCTATTAAGGGAACACAAAGCAGATTTCCTAGTAAGGGAACCCACAGGGCCATGAGTTCCACAAACCCAAATATCTAGCCTCAGCTTAACTACAAATGGAACTACACCCACCCTGCCCTCTGTACCCTAGGCCAGCAGGTTCAGGTCCCTCACTTACCTGGTCACATCCCTGCACTCCCAGCACATAGCTCCTTCAAGTCAAGGCTTCCCAGCATGCTCTCTTCAAAATATCATTCCTTCCTGCAATCCTCAAATGCTTTCTGCTGTCAATTCTTATTTTTCCTGGCTCCCCCATCAAACCAACCAACCAAGCAGTCCTCTATTGCTTCCTGAAGTTTCTCTGGTGCTTTCCATCCACTGACATAGTTCTTAATAGCATTTATAAGCTTGATTCCTACATGTATAAACCAATCATACCAACTGCGGGGAAGAATGAATGATACAGAAAAACCAAATTATTAACATCTCTTCTGCCCCCATCGAACCCTCAAGCCCACTACCCCACACAACTGACCAGTAAGCCAGTTCAGCCTCTCAATCTGATGCCTGAGAAAGCCAATCTGAGAATCAGCATCTGGCAAAGAAAAAGCAGCACCAGATAACCCTCCATGCCTCATAAAACCCATGCCCAACCAGACTTACAAACCAACTACACACTACACAAATATTGACCACTCTAGAGCCTTTTCCAAATTCCCCACCCACAACAGAACATCCATTTATCACATCATTTATCACATAAGCACAAACCTGTGATAGACTAATGATTTTGTCAGATCCTATTTACTCCAGGATAAATAAGGAGAATGCAACCTAGTAACTTTCATTTTTATCACAGCCAGCACTTTTTTTTCCTTAACAACCAAACAGCGTTTTAGTAAGACCAAGAAGGAATTCAGGTTTCAAGTGTCTCATGGCACACTGGCCTCGCCCTACACGCCCCATGCTACGGATGCTCTCCACACTGACAGCTTTGTGCCAGTAAAAGGAAGGACAGACACCACCCCAATAGAGCAAGTTCTCACTGAATGCTTAACGGAGTATGTGATCTTGGGCTGTTTAACTCTGTTAAATAGCAAACCAATTTACAACACTCCCAGGAAACTTCAAATATACTCCAAACAGCCAGACATGGAAAAGGTCTTAGTTTATTCTTTCATGAAAAATCTGCACAAGCACCACAGATACAGTCACTGCAGAATCTTTACTCCTTCTGTGAATCAAAGAAGAAAGAAATTTAGTTAGCAACTACCTTTTAAAGTCTTTAAAAATTAACAGTACAAAGTCTTCAACAAACTCCAAAATTAATGACACTCATGCAGAACGAACATTAGTAACCTGGTCCATATTAAGTCTGCGTAATCTTAACACAACGCAAGCATCAAGAAATAAAAAAACATTCCAGTTAGGGATGAGACAAAAAACAAGTTATGAAAACAAAACCATGACACTGCTAGTTTTTAAAAGGCACAACTCTTGACAGCAACTGTAAATATACTTCTAAATCATTTCACATGCTTTAATACTGTCAACCCAAAAATCTAACAATCTAAACGAAAAGCTTGAATACCTGTTGTCCAATCTCCAGCTCACTGAATAGTGGCAGGGAAGGGAGAAAGGAGGGAAGAGGGAAAAGAAACATTTCGTTAATAGTCCCTTTGCAAACTCCTAAATAATCTGCATGCAATCAGGTACCTTAATGATGATTGTTTCATTCTTTGCAATTGTATATAGAGCACTCCCTAGATGCACTAATTGATTTTATTCTCCCCAATTTTGAGAACACTCTGCCTGATTTCTATGGTTCTTGGGCTGCCAATGCCCACTTTAGGAGCCTCAGCCCCTCTGCTCTGCTCAGCAACAACGTGCTGGGCATGTTAGCACCATCAACAAACTTGAGAATCATCCCAGACTAAAGTCTAATTTAACCAAAGGGAGAGCTCTAAAGGATCAAGCAAGTCTTTTTCAAGACCTGTCTCAGGTTCAGTAATTTAAAAGCCACTATTCACAATCAACAAAAGTAGTGCAAATTAGTATTTTAAGAGACAGAACTCAGCTGATATAAAAATAGTTCAATCACTTCTCAAACACGAGACTATTCTTTTAAAACTCTACAGCACCCAAAAGATGCAATTCCAACATGTGAACAAAAAGTAAGTTAAAAAGAACAACTACGATGCCTGACTTTTTACACATTGTCACCGCTGAGCACTAACACATGGCTGAATGAAGGAAACAATACGTAAAAACGGTCTTCAGATCTAGATCAGTACACAAATATTGACTGCTTTTCAACTTCTGGAATTTCTGTCAACAGGTTTAGTAAGCCTCACAAACAGGGAGCAGTTCTAAGCAGCAAGCAGTTCCTCTGGCAGTCCTCAGCACCAGGAAGTGGTCAGAGCCTGAGGCGGGCACACCAGGTGTCCTGCCGGCTCTGCAGCTAGTCACGGTGAGAGCAAACACACAGGGCTGTGACCACCGCTGTTTCAAACCCTGCCAGCCCCAGTTCACTCTCAGCCCAGTTTTCACATTACATGTTTAGGCTGCTCACTGTACAAATATATTTAAATATCTGTGGGAAAAGCTTATCAAAGGTTTTGATGTGAATACTTCATTATCTTGGAAATTTTTCAATTAAAAAAAAGGGGGCATCAGGTAGACAGCTGGAGATCAAATAGTAAGTAAGGGGACAGTAGAGAGATGGTGAAAGGCAGCTTTGGGTGGGTGCTCTGAGACAGAGGCTTTGCCAGATTTTCTGGACCAGTTTATCGAGCTGCCAGTCAACCAACCAGTCTCCAAAAGACACTGCTCATGACTGGATCATAAAACCCTTCCCAAGCCCTTATTAATGAAAAGCCATTTATCTCCTGAGTATGTGGTGCTCTGGAACACAGCAAGTGCCAATTAAAAGGGGCCACCTTCCTCCACTGGGCCACTTCACAACTTAACATGCACTTCTGAGTTTCCAAAATAAATGTGATTTAAAGTTTCTCTCCTTTGCTCACAATATACTATTTTAAACCATAGCAGTAGTGTTATATAATAGACTATGCTACAAAACTCTCCTCTGAAAGCCAACATGCAAAGCATCAAAGCAAACTCAGTGAAGGTGATGCATCCATCCCCACACCGTGCTCACAATCTCAGTACCTGCTAGACACTTCATTTCTGATGAACAAGAATTCCAAGAAAGTAGAGGGAAAAGGCAAAAAAAAAAAAGTTCACAGAACACTTAATTATTTGTTAATTTGACAACCCAACACCTTAATTCCATTCAACTACTTACAATTAGCTAGCCAAGCTGGTAAAAAGCTGAGAATTAAAATCACTCAAGTCCTGACTAACTGGAGAGGAAAGCAACGGAAAACCGTGCCGCCTCTCCAGCATGCCAGGAAAACACGGGCCACATTGATTCAGCTGCTTCCTCAATCAGTTGCCAATTTTAAGAACATCAGTCTTGGGAACCTAGATCTGCTCCCTCTTTACAAACCTTTGCAATTAGCAGTAAAGTGAAAACTTTCCTGGTAAGACTTGCAAGGCACCCACCAGGATCACTGAACCGATGTGGCCCTGCGCTGTGCTAATCTGTGAGCTAAGGGGTGGGCAAAGCTACTCTACTGAGGTGTTAAGATACTACGTTACGTGGCTTCTCAAAACAGGTTACCTTCTGTAATCCAGAAGAAGTGGGAAAAGAAGAAACATCAAGAAAGGTTATTAAGAAAACAAAACCCCACTTTTCTACAAACTAAAAACCTGAAACTGACATTTCTGTATCTTCCTTGATAAACTATACCTTTTTGCCAGCACCAACATTGGCCTTTGCAGTCCCCCTGACTTTCTTCATTCTGTTCTTGCGTTCTTTTCGCTGTTTTCTTGAGGTCTTTTTCTTCTCATACAGGCCGTGCTGAAAGAAAAAGGTGTATATGTGTATATATGAACATACGACTTGCAAACATCAATTAATCCAACTCCAGGAATAAGCACGTCAAATCTCGACAGAGTCAAGTATCTTAGTAGAATGTATAGCTGGCTTGGCCCTCCACATCCGCTTTCTTTTGCCCCTATGTATTCAACCAACCTCGGATCACTGTACTGTAACTTTACGACTGAAAAATTATCTGCATATAAGTGGACGTTCAAACCAGCGTTCTTCAAGGATCAACTGTACTTCACTATGTACTTGGTATTCAGGAAATCACCCGAAACTTTTCATGGCTCCTATGAAGCTAAGCCCAAACTCAAGACATTTGGAAACATTTCACTTCATGTAGCGCCAACCTACGGTTTCTAAATCCATCCCTCTACTGCCAGCCAGCTCCTACCTCCAGGAGCATGTCACCTGCTCTTCCAGACCCAGCTCAAAAGGCACCTCCTCAAATCCTGCAGACACCATTCTGAACCCCATACTCTACCTGTGCGTTTATCAAAGAACCTTTTCTGTCAACCACTGAAGAGTTATTTAGTGTGCTGTCCCTCCAGACTGCTTGCTCTTGCTCATTCTGCTGAACCCACAATGCCATTAAAAAAATGTCTTCAGCAGCAACTGAACAAATGAGAACACCTACTCTTGCAAGCCTGTGTTTGGGCTCATTCTTCTTCGCGTAATCCAAGGAATCGTAAATCATGCCGAAGCCAGTTGTCTTGCCACCACCAAAATGGGTTCTGAATCCAAATACAAAGATGACATCTGGTGTGGTCTTGTACATTTTGGCCAGTTTTTCCCGAATTTCTGTTTTAGGTACTGTTGCCTTTCCAGGATGAAGAACATCAATGACCTAAGAAGAAATTATCAAGCTTAATGTATACTACAATGAAATACATCTTCAAAACTGAGTAACAACCAAAGTTTGACGTACCCTCCCTTACCATTTGTTTCCGCTGAAGCAGCCGGTTGGTCATGAACTTCCTAGTCCGGATAGTTACTGTGTCGTTCTGAAAACATAACACTCGTTTTAATAGTTTTAATAACTAGTCAATCTTTTCCTGACCTTACTGATTTTCCAAGATCTAGAACTGCAAGGTCCACATCAATAGCCGCTATCTGTGAACAGTTAACTAAAAACAAAGGAGTCACACGCCGTCAGTGCCAGGAAACCTTGAATCAAAGGGGGAAAAAAAGCACCAATTCCCATCTCCTAACACACTTACTAGCAAACTGCCTAACTCACAGGTCACCCCAACACAAAAACAGTACCAAGAATATGTGCTCAACAGCCACACACTGAATCTGTAAAAGCTTACTTCATTTTGTTACAGAAATCACTCTCCAGGTTTCTCAAACCTCAGATGTCTTGGCCCAGCTACTACTTTGTTGTGTGGACTGTCCCATGCATTTCAGAATGTTTAGTAGCACACCCACTTCCTAGTTTTAAGAATGTCTCCAGACTTTGCCAATTGTACCCTTAGAGACAAAAATCACCCCAAGTCCCACTTCTCTGGGATGAAGCTGTGATTCTACAATTGTTATTGTCAGACCACCCTGTTTGTAGCAGCCTGCAGAGATCTGACAAGCACTACACTATCTTCATGTAAACTACCCTTCTTGAATGACCAACTCTACATCCCACAAAAAAACGTATTCCCTTCTGAATAGCCCCCTGCTTTTACACAGTAACTACCAGAGAATGTGGGCATTCAGCATCTTTACACTAAAAACGAAAACTTAACCGGTAAGAGCTCTCACGGTAAACTGATAGCTATTCCAACTACAGTTTTAAAAAACCACACCAAACTAAACCCACTTCAACAATGTTCAATTTCTTAAAGTCGGGATCAAGTAAAAAATAGGTCGAAGATGGAGCGGAGTTAAAAACCGGTGAACCTTCAAATGAGTGAACTAGTAATGGCATGGTAAGCTCCACACCCCGGGGCCTCCGTTTCCCCCTGTGAAACAAGAGAATCCATTCGGCTGACAGTAACTGTAGCTTACACGTAACAGTTTCACTCGTCGCAACTCGCCCGGGCGCTGCTGGCACCCTCTTCACGTCCTGGGCTGCCTTCACTGGCCAACCGCCTACCCCAAGTTGGGAGTGCAAATGTGATGTCTCTCTCTTCACCCCACACCACCCACTAAACTCCACGAAGCCGACGAACTCAGTAGGTACTCCCGCAATCCCCCACTCCTGGGACTCTTGAAAGCCCAACATGTCTAGGTAGACAGCACACAGCCCGGACTCCTCGCCGGCGGCTCCCAGACCCTCGGCAACAGGTCTCCCCGGTCAGACTCGGCCATGGAAAAGTAACCGGGCTTTGGGGGGGGCTGTAACGCCAATGTCAGAACCAGGGGACGGAGGATGGCTCAGATATGCGGCGGATGGGTGCATGGGTCCGGAGAGACTCACCATGATGGCGGCTGATCTTCAAGCAGCCAGGGAGGAAAAGAGGGCTAAACTTCTCCGGCCAATCATATCAACGCTCACGGAAGGTCCCCGGACCGCGCCGACGTGGGGGCGTGGCCGGACCGTGAGGCCGACCTCGCCAATGCCTGTTTGAAAGTGCTTAAGATCTGGACTCTGGTCTTTCTCCACACCCCTCAGAACGGGAACTGGCCAATCCCGAGGGCGCACAGTTTAGACGGAGTAGGTTTATGCTAGCACTTGTTCCGCTTCGATTCATTATTTTGGACTGTCTGAACTTAAAATTAAGTTAAACCAGATTAAAGTTAAATCCCCTCCACCCGCGTTAGCGGTTGGTAAAGCCGGAAGGCATCCTTGACGGTCCTCTCGACCAGCCTCCTCGTTTTACCGCTGGGGAAACTGCAGAACTGACTCCAAACCTTTTGTTATTTCAAGTACGCAGAACTGACCGTTGCTATTATTTTTGTGAGATTAGAGAATCTGATTGTCTAAAATTTTTTCCAAAACTTTGTCTTTTCATGAAAATATTAGTCCCTACAAAAGTGAGCTTTTTTTTTGGTAAATTAATTTATTTATTTTAATTGGAGGCTAATTAATTTACAATACTGTAGTGGTTTTTGCCATACATTCACATGAATCAGCTATAGGTGTACATGTGTCCCCATCATGAACCCCCCCCTCCCACCTTCCTCCCCATCCCAACCCTCAGGGTTAAAATTGAGCTTTTAATCAGTTCAGTTCAGTTTCTCAGTCGTGTCCAACTCTTTGCGACCCCATGAACCACAGCACGCCAGGCCTCCCTGTCCATCACCAACTCCCGAAGTTTACCCAAACTCATGTCCATTGAGTCGGTGAGGCCATCCAACCATCTCATCCTCTGTTGTCCCCTTCTCCTCCTGCCCTCAATTTTTTCCAGCATCAGGGTCTTTTCCAGTGAGTCAGCTCTTATCAGGTGGCCAAAGTATTGGAGTTTCAGCTTCAACATCAGTCCTTCCAATGAACACCCAGGGCTGATCTTTAGGATGGACTGGTTTGATCTTGCAGTCCAAGGGACTCTCAAGAGTCTTGTACAATACCACAGTTCAAAAGCATCAGTTCTTTCAGTGCTCAGCTTTCTTTATAGCTTTTAATAAGTATTTGATATTTGAAATTTGTCCGTGTAGCAATAAAATTTAAAAAAAAAATGCAGGTTCAGAAAGAGACAGACCAATAAACCAGAAATAGATTGGAAATGGAACTTGGAAAATACAGCTCAGGCTTCGCGGCGGTTTCAACGAGGTGCCACCAGAAGGCGGTATCGGGAGAAGGCGAGAAGCTGCGTGCCTGAAGCCTCTCTTGACAGACTCGCGCCAGCGAGTAGCGGAAGTGGGGGCGGGCATGTGGGGCGTGCTACGGTGGCCGAAAAAATGCCGCAGGTGTGTTAGCAACCGGTCAAGAAGCAGACACGGGTGGTACGGAGAACATCGTGTTTCTAATCCAGCTCCACGAATTTATAGGAGGGAGCCCCTGCAGCCGTCACCATGGTGAAGGAGCAGTTCCGGGAGACAGATGTGGCCAAGAAAATGTAAGATGGAGCCAAAATCGCCAAAGGGCAGAGAAATTCGGGGTAAAGGAATCCAAGGTCAGGGGTCTTGGGTCTCGAAGCGTCATAGCTGAGGGTCAGTTGGAAGGAAAGGACCAAGAATCAGTGGGAGGTGTGGGCACAGCTCAGCAGTATCAGGTTAGATTAATGAATATTGATTGGGCAGAGGGTATTTCAGCATCTGGGGAACCGCAGGCCAGGGGTGTTCCATTGGTTTTTGGCAGAGAATGGGAGATGTGGTGGGAACCTTGGCGATAACTTACACCCTGGGTCGAAGCTCGAGTTTTACTGAGGTCAGATGATGATTCCTTTCTGCGAATTTTTGGTCACTACAGCTTGGGAAGCAACCTGGGTCGGGGACTCATTTTGCTGCAGAACACATGACACAGACGTAATATTTGTTGACCGAAAGAATGGAGTTACCAGGTAGAAAGCTGTGTCACAGGCACATGGATAGCAGTCTCAAAAATGAGATGAAATTTAATAGGTCACAGCCTCGCCTTAGAACTTCCAGTAAAGAAAGAAATCAATCGTTCTTGCAGGAGACACTTAGTTGAGGAAGGTACTGTGTGCTGGGTCCGGTGATAGGCATTAGAGATGTGACATGAGGAAGACCTTACTGCTTAGTCTAGTTGGAGAAGGTAGGCAAGTCCATGGTTGAGCTGGACAAGTGCAAGGACAAGGGTTGGCACCAACGGGAAAGGGGTTCAGACTGAAGAAAGCAAACCGAACAGCCTTCTCCCAGGAGCATAGAGGAGGGAGACATTACAGTGATGAGAAGAAAACTGATTTTGAAGCTTTGTTCCAGAGTCATCTTGCAGGCAGTGAGGGGTTTTTTTTGGTCAATTAAAGTATAGTTGATTTACAATGTTGTGTTAGTCAGTTATATGCATGTGTGCTCAGTCACTTCACTCGTGTCTGACTCTGTGAACTGCCTGGACGGTAACCCACCAGGCTCCTCTGTCCATGGGATTCTGTAGGCAGGAATACTGGAGTGGATTGTGTGCCCTTCTCCAGGGGATCTTCTGGACCCAGGGATCGAACCCACGTCTCCTGCAGTTCCTACAATGCAGACAGATACTCTTTTTTTTTTTTTTTTTAGTTGGAGGCTAATTACTTTGGATACTCTTTTTTTAGAACCTGTAAGGGAAAAGAATCTAAAAAAGAATATGTATATGTAATCTAAGAAAGAATATATATGTGAAAATAACATAATATGCCTATAAGAGATATAAGAAACAATACGTATAGTATCTGTTAAAGAATCTAAAAAATATACCTTTTATTATATATATAACATTAAGTATACATTTCTGTACCATACAGTAGTTTCTTGTTGGATATCTATCTTAAATATAGTAAGTGTATATTTTCATGTCAGACTCCTAATTTATCTCCGCCACCCACCGCCACCTGCCCCTTTGGTAACTATAAGTTTGTTTGCTGTGTGTGTGGGTCTGTTTCTCTTTTGTAAATAAGTTCATTTGTATCTTTTTCTCCCCCACATATAAGCAACATCATATGACATTTGTCTTTCTCTGTCTAGCTTACTTTACTTAGTATGATAATCTCTAGAGCCATCCATGTTACTGAAAATGGCATTTTTTTTTTATGGTGTGTGTGTGGTTTCTGTGTATATGCATACACACACACCACGTCTTATCCATGCATCTCTTGATGGACTTTTAGGTTGCTTCCGTGTCTTGGCTATTGTCAATAGAGCTGCAGTGAACACTGAGGTGTAGCTTTTCAAATTGTAGTTTTCTCCAGATATATGCCCAGGAGTGGGCTTGCTGGATCATACAGTAACTCTTTTTAGTTTTTAAAGGAACCTCTGTACTTTTCTCTCTACTGGTTGTACCAATTGACATTCCCACCAACAGTGAATGAGGGTTCCTTTTTCTCCACAAACTCCCCAGCATTTATTATTTGTAGAATTTTTGATGATGGCCATTCTCTCGGTTGAGGGGTGTGAAATTGACAATTTTGGTAGGGATGGGTAAGGGAGAAATGAGACTGATGCACAGAATTTCTTGCTTGGGTGACTATGTGGAGGTTGCCATTCACTGGAATGGGAAACTTGCCTCTTTCCTGGGTAAATTATCCCAGGTGGTCCCTCCAAACCCATCCCAACCCCCAGCCCTATTCAGATGTAGATATAACCTGTTTTCCTCTGACCCCCTGACTGACTATTAAAATGCAAATTAGATCCTGACACTTCAGTTTGAACTCTTCGGGCAGCTTTCCCTTGGACTAACATTTAAATTGCCTGTCAGAGTTCCGAAGCCCTCTTAAAGCTGGTCTTTGCATACCTCACTGACTTTTTCTTGTTCCATTAGCTTTCTGTGCTCTACACAACTGGTTTCATTTGGTGCCTTGAAAATGCCAGGCTTGAGCTGGCTCTAGAACCCTTGCCCTAGTTAAGCTGTGCTTCCTACGCATGACTTCGTGATCATCTTATGACTGGCTCCCTCTGATTCAGAATCGAGCTGAAATATCAATTTTCCAGACTTTCTGACCACATAACATAGTCTTGTCAAACTGTCCCCTACGCTTCAGTTTTTTCAGTCTTTGCATCTATTCACTTTTGGAATCTGTTTGTTTATTCTCTGTCTTGCCCTCCCTGAAACTGAGCCCCATGTTGGCAGGGAGTTTGTCTTGTCTAACCTGTACCCTCAGCCCCTCAGGATGGTGCCTGGCACATCATAAACCCCCAGCTTGTTGGGAAAATGAACAAAGGAACAGATCTGGGAGAGGAAGTGCCGAATTTAGGTACTTGTGTAACTGTCCAAAGGAGATGTGTGTATGATCTCCGGCTGAGTCGGAATAGTTGGCCTCCAGATAGAAATTAGACAGACCGCACTCGGGAAGAAGGTGTAGAGTGCAAGGAGGATTGGGGTTGTAAGGTAAGGAGGTCCCAGGTAAGGAGAAAAGCCAATATCTAAGAGAGAGCAGTAGAAGAGGCCACAAAAGAAACTTAAGATGTAACAGCCAGAGAGGGGAGAAGACTCAAAGCATGGATGGTGTTACCAAAGCCAAGAAAAGTAATTACTGCAAGATAAGGGGTGAAGAGGTTACTGCCAGTGCTACAGAGAGACATTAAAATGAGCAATTCTTCCTGGATTGAGCAGCAAGGAGGTAGGTACAACTGATGCGCACCATCCTCAGATAATGAAAGTGAGAACAAGTCAGCTGGATGAAGGAACATTTAGTAATGAGAGAGCAGAGCCTGTCAGGCTAAGGATAAGGTTGCTTATGGTGGGTCACATGCAAAAATGCTCTTCCTAGTAAATGGTTTTGATGTAACTGTTCCCCTATCTCTTTCCATTCCAGAAGCCACATCTGTTTTGGAATGAAATCAGCCGAGGAGATGCGCCAGCAGGCACACATTCAGGTTGTGAGTAAGAACCTGTACAGCCAGGACAACAACCACGCCCCACTGCTATATGGGGTGCTTGACCACAGGATGGTAAGACCTGCTGCCCCTCGTGGTTCCATGTGGTTTGACTGGCTGGTGAAACTGGTGACTCACCAGACCAGAAGAAGCCAGGTCTTCCTTCCACCTCCCCACTTCCCCAGCACATCTCAGGGGCTCCAGCCTTCCTTGGTCCAGGGAATATGAATACCCTGCCCCTTGCCAGGTGATTCTGATTCTGGGTCCCCTGACCACCTGTGAGGGCTCATCCCATTTTCCTCTCCACTGGTCTCCACTGACTATTGATCATACTTTTATCCACAGGGTACAAGTGAGAAGGACCGTCCTTGTGAAACCTGTGGGAAGAACTTGGCTGACTGTCTGGGCCACTATGGGTACATTGACTTGGAATTGCCGTGTTTTCACGTGGGGTACTTCCGAGCAGTTATCGGCATCTTACAGGTAAGCATGTATGTGTTCATCTCCATAGAGTAACTTCATCTCCCTGGAAGTTACTGATCCAGGGACATGAGAGTGAGCTTGGTGGGGGATACATGTAGGGAACATTCTTATACTAAACATGTAATATTTGTTTTGTTTGAGGGGTTTGGATTTTTGTTTTGTTTTGTTTTGCATAATATTTCATCCTGCAATAAGTTAAATTGCTAAGTTTCTTTTTGCTTGATTTTCCTTGAGTAGGTGGTAGATATATATTGTAAAATAATAATAATAATTCAAGTGATACAAGCACAAGACAATTCAAGCACGAGAAAGGGAATAAAGCTAACAAAAACCCCACCTGCCGGCTGTGGTTACAGCCAGCATTCTGTTGAACATGGGCTGCCTCTAAGCATGTCTTCCTATAGATCTGTGCATATAGTTTAGTGTCCTGGACAAGGGGTGGATACAGCTTTTTTTAAAAAAAAAAAAGGAAAATACTTTTTCATCCTGTCATCCTTTTATCTATTTTGTTTAATTTTCAAAAGATGATCTGTAAAACCTGCTGCCACATCATGCTGTCCCAGGAGGAGAAGAAGCAGTTTCTGGATTATCTAAAGAGACCTGGCCTGACCTACCTCCAGAAGCGAGGGCTGAAGAAGAAAATCTCTGACAAGTGCCGGAAGAAGAACACGTGCCATCACTGTGGCGCCTTCAATGGTGAGCCGGATGCACATCTTGTCTTTCAGCATGATGGCAGTTTCTGTAACTGCATTTCCTAGATCGCAACCTCAGGCCAGCCTAACCAATAACCTGATTTTTCCAACCATGGTAAAACGGACTTACTCTTCCAGGTACTGTCAAGAAATGCGGCTTACTGAAGATAATCCATGAGAAGTACAAGACTAACAAGAAAGTGGTGGATCCCATCGTATCAAGTTTCCTTCAGTCCTTTGAAACCGCCATAGAGCATAACAAAGAAGTAGAACCTCTCCTGGGAAGGGCACAGGTGAGCCTACCGCTGCCTGCCTCCCTCTGTCTCCATCACACGTTGTCTCCTCACCCTCTGGGTACACCCTTCCTCCAGAACAGGAGGTCGACTGGGGTTAGGTCTCTGGGGATACTCCACCTGACAAGTGTTCACCTGGCACTCAGTTTATTGTGAGCTGTCCTCAGAACTAACACGTTTAATTATATAGATAGCATGTTACATTTTCATTGTAAAAGCATAGTCGTGTACACCATACACCGAGGGATGCTGTTTCTCACATGGATGCGGCATTAATAGAATTTGTACGGATTTCCATTGCTTTACTTGGCACAAACTTAATTAGTAGGATTTTATGAAGTGTCTTGTTCTGCCTTGTTCTGAATTCGATTAGTATTTAAGTCACATGGTACCTTCTAGAATTGATAGTATACAAAACTAACAATTAAGTGGCTACTGAGTACCAAACTGTCAGACCTGCGGGTCTGACACAGGAACCACAAAGCAGTGGGCTGCACCCAGGAATCCCGTGGTTTTAAAGGTGTCGTAGGTCATTAATCTATGAAAACATAGCCAGTACCATGGGACACAGTGCTGACTGTCACAGGGATGGAGAGGACAGGACGGAGTGGGGAATCTGGGGGCTTGGTCAGGGAGGACTGTGAGGAAAGGTGTGGTTTGTTGTGGTCCTTAAACCTGAGTAGGGTTTAGAGAGTCTAGGGCAGTGAGCCTGCCGTGTCCAGGAGGCTGTGCTGGGGCTCCTTCCGAAGCCAAGGTTCTGTTCGAAAGTCCAAGCATTTTGCTAACAAAAGCACCTTGCAGTTAATGACTGCTGTTACCTTCCGGTGTCGTTCCAAATTCTTTCCATGGATCGCCTCATATTTTATCCTAACAGCAGCCCTGTGAGGCCGCATCAGCCAAGATAATAGTGAGTGGTGGACGGGGAATCCTTGCGGAGACCATCGGGGCGCAAGCCTGTGCTGGAGAAAAGACAGACAGCTGAACCCACTTTGTCGAGGTCCTCCCACTCTGGAGAATGTGGAGCCATTAAGGTTTTAAGCAAGGGAGAGACATAAATAATCACATTTTAGAACAGCCTGACTGCTCAAAAGACACCGTAACAAAAATGAAAAACCAGGTCACAAGCTGGGAGCAAATACTCACCTTTCATGTGTCTGACAAAGAACTCTCATGTCCAGAATATAAAGCCCTGATTTTTAAACGCAGAAGCAAGACTTGAATAGGCACTTCACAAAAGGTTATATTCAGACAGGCAATCAATAGATGAAAAGTTGTTCCACATTATAAGTCATCAGGGAAGTCTTAATTAAAACACACCCCCCCCCTCAGAAAAATTAAATGTAAAACAACTGAAAACCAAGCGCTGGCAAGGATCTGAGGCAACTGGCACTCCTACATTGATAGTAGCCTTGTAAAATGTTTTCACCACTCTGAAATTCCTTACAGAATAAGACCTACACTTACCATATGATCTAGCAGCTTTATTCTTGGGTATATACCCAAGAGAGACAAGTGCATACATACATCCCCCAAAATATTTGTGCAAGTATGCTCATTGCAGCTTCATTGGTAAAAGCCAGAATTAGAAACACCCCAGATGCCTGTCAACAGGAGAATGTGCAAATTGTCATAGATCCACGCAGTGGAATCCTGTCCTGGAATGAAAGAATCAAGCTGACACACAGCCTGGCTGAATCGCGGAATCCTACTGAGAGGAGGCAGCCTTATATGAGAGTCCAAAGGGTGTGATTGCATTTAGATCAAGTCCAGGAACAGGCCAGACTGATCTGAGGTGACGGCTTAGTACTAGTGAGAAAGGGGTATCAGGGTATTTTCTGGAGAGGGGCACATATTCTTTATCATGATTTGAATGGTGGTGTATGTGTACCTGTGTGAAAATTTACCCAGCTCTTTAAGAGTTGTGCAGCTTACTGTAATATATAAGTTATGCCTTGATTTAGGGAGTGAGATGTAGAAAGAAAGCAGGTCCTGACCCTGGGCAGTGATAGTGAAGCCAGAGGTCAGAGTGTGCAGTCAGAATGGATAGTAACTGATGACCAGCCACTGTGACACCGGGTGTGAGAGGAGGCGGCCAGATGCACCGGTGTCTGGAAACTTCGCCATCCCCCTGGAGATGGGGGAGGGCAGCAGCCGTGCGCCCCAGTGGAGGTGTCTTCAAGCTCCTGCAGAGGAAGTGAGGGTGCAGACTGAGAAAGCTGACCTTGTCCTCCTACCAGCATGAGTGTAGAGGAATTCTCCCCTCCAGGCTGACAGCTGTGCAGAAAGCGTTCAGTGAGTCTGAGGGCTGTCCAGCCCTCCTGGGTGTGGCCTTAGTTGCAGCCTCCTGTGCATTCCCTCTGCTTCACACACCACCCCCGCCCCCCAGATCAGCCTCCCTGATGCCCGTCACCACTTTCCCCTGCCAACTCTCTACCTGGGCCCCTGGGGCCACTGTCCTTACATGCAGAGGACCAAGTCTCCTCTGCTCCCCACACCCTCTGCAGTAGAATGGTATAGGGCCTAGGAGGCATCTTGTTTGGAAAAGTCTTTTAAGTCAGAGGTCCCTAACTTCCAGGCCATGGACCAATACCTCCTTCAGGATCAGCAGTGGCATTAGATTAGAAATAAAGCACACAATAAATGTAGTGTGCTTCAGTCATCCCAAAATCATCCCCTTCAGCCCAGGTCCATGAAAAAGTTGTCTTCCATGAAATCAGTCCCTGGTGCCAGAAGGTTGGGGACCACTGTCCTGAGTGGCTGGGCCCAGGAGACCTCCTCCCACTTAGGAGTCTAGTGCGTCCAGCTTGCCTCTCTGTGTCCCCCACTGCCACCACCTCCCTGTCCACACCAGCCCACGTGACCCAGGTGGCACCCTCGATGTGATTTAGGGTGGTGGTTTCGAGCTATGGGGCTTCCCAGGTGGCTCAGTGGTAAAGAATCTACCTTCCAGTGCAGGAGACTCATGTTTGATCCCTGGATCAGGAAGATCCCCTGGAGGAGGAAATGGCAACCCACTCTAATATTCATGCTGGGAAAATCCCAGGGACAGAGGAGCCTGGTGGGCTACAGTCTATAAGGTTACAAAGAGCCAGACATGACTGAAGTGATTAGCATGCACGCATACTGCCGCTTACTTACTCTATGATCTTAAACACGTGGCCCAACCTGGACTTGAGTTTCCACAGCTGTAAAACAGGGATTACAAGAGTGTCTGCTTTGGGGCTATTATGAGGATTAGGAGATGGATTCCAGATCAGATGCTTAGCAGATAGCAAATGCTTCAAACATGTGACCTAGTTACTGTGGCATCCTTATTACTGATGTTCCTGTATTAACAGAAATAATGATGGAGAGGTAAGGCTTCTTCCTTTTCTTATTTATGTGTCCCTTCAGCTTAACAGAGCCTCTGCTCCCTTCCCCTCACCGGAATCCCCCATCCCTGGGCTTCCATGCAGCCTCCTCTGCTCTCTGCAACACACCCCCACACTGATCTTCACCTTTCCCTCAATCACTTGTACACTTGCTATGCCTTATACACCTCTTGTGTTCTGTCTTATATTTCTGCTAGTTTCTTCCACTTAAGTTTGGTCCCTCACAAGATCCCTTTTTCTGAGGTCCTGTTTGATGCCAGTCACAGTGCTTGGAATAGTGGCAATATCCTCCCCTTGGCAATATCCTCCAAGATTATCTGTCCTGGTTTTTCCTGGGCCACGGGTGGGAACAAAACATGAGTTCACCATTTGCCTAATTCCAAGCAGCCCCTCCTTAGAGAGGGCCACTTAGTCACCAAAGTGAACAAAGAATTATTGAGTTAACATTTACCTTTTATAAAGACAGGCAGCAAAAAGGTGTCTCGTTAATCTCAGGATGGCCCATGTCCTGACACGGTGCTTCCCTGGTGACTCCGGCAGTAAAGAGTCTGCCTGCAGCGTGGGAGACCCAGGTTTGATCCCTCGGTCTAGAAGATCCCCTGGAGAAAGGAATGGCAACCTGCTCCAGAATTCTTGCCTGGGAAATCCCATGGACAGAGGAGCCTGGCGGGCGACAGTCCATGAGGGTGCAGAGAGTCAGATACGACTGAGCGACTTTCACTTACTGACGTGTGTACCTGCCCACTGAATTTTCAGGAATGTGGACCCCCCATGCCTTTATAGGAGGCATAACATGATTGAAGTGGAAGAGACCTTAGAGCCGTGGTTCTTGACCTTCTGTGGGTCACAGACCCCTTTAGGAATTAGACAGAAACTCTGGACTCTACTCCCAGAGGGCTGGTCCACTCCTGTTTTAGTACAAATCCGGGGATTGGTAGACCTGCAGATAAGGTCTCTCCATAATGACATCATCCCTGCAGACAGTGCAGCCGTGTCAGCTCATCACCACCCGAGGAAGCTGCACTCCATGGCTAGAGAGCTCGGGCTGTTAGGGTATTCTGCCTCGTACACATCTGGGCCCTGCTCTGCTGTCCATCAGTCCCTGACTTCTGTTTCCTGGTATTTAACAATAAGTCAGCAGCCTCTTCCTCATGCCTCTGGGGACACAGTTCTTATCACTCTTGCTGAGAACTGGTTCCAGACTCTTGCCAGTCTTCCTGCCCTCCTGGACGGCCTTCAGCTCCGTAATGTCCTCATCCAGGACTGACTGGTACTGCAGGTGATGTCTCACCTTCATCCCGCCCTAGAATTTTGTTAGATTTAGACTTCCTCCTCCCTGACTGTTTCTGACAGCAGCGAGGTGCCCATCGCTGGGAGGTGGGAGCCGAGGACATGCATTGTTCTCTGGACAGGGGCCCGGACTGGAAAGCCTATAGTGAGATTCCTTCCTTCTGCCCAGCCACACTGCCATCTCCTCCAGGGCAGGACCATAGAAACTTTTCCTTTGGTAGTGTTCTAAGAGCTGATCATTTTTCTTAACTTTGTTCATTAAGTTATGTATGGCAAATTGTATTTACCACATATAATCTCAGTCACAGTCTTTGATCCCAAGGAAATTTAATAACCAGCATTGTTACAGCATGGCACCTCTGTTACGTGAAGTTAATACAAAGACAATACAAGTTCATTACAGAAAGGTGAAATGTAAAAAAAGAAGCAAAATGATGATAATCCAACTCAGCTAAAGATGGCCCAGTTCACACCTTGGTAAACTCTTCCATTTCCTCTTTTCTGTAGATGTACATCTTTGCCCAAATTAGATCACATTATAAACGTACCTGTCTTATTTATCAATATTTTATGAACACCTTTCATGGCATAAGCCACATTTTTGTGTCTTCATTTTTTTTCCTTAGACGGCTTCATAGTTTTCTACATATGGATGTACCATGCTTTTATCTAGCCAGTAACCTGCCAGGTTGTTTGCAGCTTTCACAATTAAGATCTGCTTTAATGCATCCTTACAGCTAAATCTTTGTGTTAATTTCTAAAATCATACCCTTTGGAAAAGTTAAGTGGAATTATCGGCTTAAATCATTGGTATAAAAGTCATGCCCATTTTTAGGGCTCTTGCAATATATAGCAAATTATCAGAAGCCTTTGTCATCACTTGTACATATTTTCAGTTAAGCGGTTAGATCAGGGGTCCCCAACTCCTGGGCCATGGACCAGCACTAGTCAGAGGCCTTTTAGGACCCAGGCTCACGGGAGGTGAGCGGCAGACAAGTGAAGCTTCACCTGCTGCTCCCTGTCACTAGCAGTACTTCCTGAACCATCTCCCCCTTCCCCCCGCCATGGAAAAATTATCTTCCACAAAATCAGTTCCTGGTGCCAGGAAGGTTGGGTACTACTGGGTTGGGGGCATGGAGAAGTAAACCTTTGCCTAAGCTGTGGAAAGCTGAGTTCTATCTCTTCTCTTCCCTCCTTTCCATAGGAAAACTTGAATCCCTTAGTAGTTTTGAATTTATTTAAACGAATCCCAGCTGAAGACATCCCTCTACTTCTGATGAATCCGGAAGCTGGAAAGCCCTCCGATTTGATTCTCACACGCCTCTTAGTGCCCCCTTTGTGTATCAGACCCTCTGTCGTGAGCGATTTGAAGTCTGGCACCAATGAAGATGATCTGACGATGAAGTTGACAGAAATCATTTTCCTAAATGACGTCATTAAAAAGGTCAGCACTTCCCATTAGCATTTCCAGACTCTAGGTTTTGGAGTATATCCATGCAAACAGAAGTGTCTGATGGAGAAAGTCAGATTGACCAGGCTTGCTTCTGCTCATTCTTAGCATCGGATATCAGGAGCTAAGACCCAGATGATCATGGAAGACTGGGACTTCCTGCAGCTGCAGTGCGCCCTCTACATTAACAGCGAGCTCTCAGGCATTCCCCTCAATATGGCACCCAAGAAATGGACTAGAGGGTTTGTCCAGCGCCTGAAGGGAAAGCAGGGTACGTGTCCACCTGTGTATGCAGAAAACGGTCTGCTGCCTTTGGTTCATTTTGGGGAATGTATGTCCAGCTTATCTAGTTGGAGACCACAGTCTTTCCTTGACCTTTCTGATCACATTGCCCCCAGACAGCACACACTGTGCCTTGGAGACTTACGATATATTTTTATTTATTTAGGTCGATTCAGAGGCAATCTTTCAGGAAAGAGAGTGGATTTTTCTGGCAGAACAGTCATCTCACCTGACCCCAACCTCCGAATTGACGAGGTAGCTGTGCCAGTTCATGTGGCCAAAATTCTAACATTTCCTGAGAAGGTAAGTACATTGAGTTGCTCAGTATTTTGTCCAAATCCAGTCTTTTATGTTACGTTCTGAGGTTCCAAACAAGCTCAACAGTGGGAAACCCCCAGTAATCCACCCAGGCCACAGTTTGGCACGTGTATGTTTGTTTTTCCAGTTTGTTTCACACATGTGTCACCGTATATAACATCTACGACATGTACACAGTTGTGTCTGCCTTTATATTTAAATACTCAGATATACATTAAACATTTAAGTCTACTTTTTTTCCATCTTTGATTTTTTTCTGTGCTGGTTGATACCTCATGCCTTAAATAACTAAATGATAAACATCCACATCCAGTTAATTTTCTTGGGATGAGTTAAAACATTAGAAGTTTTAAAACATTAGAATCATTTTTAAAACTTTAGAATCACTGACTCAAAGACTCTGAATATTAAAAAGCTGTTGATGGGACTTCCCTGCTGGCCCTGTGGTTAAGATTCTGAGCTCCCAATGCAGGGGGCTCAGGTTCGATCCCTGGTCAGGGAACTAGATCCCACATGCTGCAACTAAGACCTGGTGCAGCCAAATAAATGAAAAAAATATATATTAAAAAATAAAATAAAAATAAATAAAAATAAAAAGCTGTTGATGCATAACCAGAAAGGCTATAGCACTTTATACTGAGTTCATACTCGTGAATGTAAACTGGTATTTATAGTATTTTCTTTTTTAACTGAGGTGTAGAAAATTGAAAGGCCTGGTAACAGGGAAATGTTGATTGGCTTTGACTTTGCTCTTGAAATTCATAATTAGCCCAGCCCATAGGTGCTTCTGGTAAAGCTTGTATAAAAAGTATCCTTGGTTGGGGCTTCCCTGGTGGTCCAGTGGTTAAGAATCCGCCTTTCAATGCAGGGGACACGGGTTCAGTCCCTGGTCAGGGAACCAAGATCCCATGTGCTACAAGGCAGCTAACCTTGCACACACCTCAGGAAGAGCTACAGCAGAGACTCAGTGCAGTCAGAATTTTAAAAAAAATATAATGTCCTTGGATGAGTTAAATTTCCTTCTCTGAGACAGTGCCCCACAAGACTCTTGTCCAGTAGGCTGCGGGACATGGTGCCAGGACCTGCTGTTCTGGCGTTAACAGCTTTTAAACCTGAGAAGCCCACAGTAAATCATTGCAGGTGAAGCTGCCACCTGTTTTTAGGATCACAGGATATGCTGAAAGCTCCCTGCAGGTCAGTGCAGCCCATCATTTTATCAGTAGAGAAGCCAAAGGTCAGTAACGGACCTGGCTCTGTCACCCAGCAAGTGAGTGACCACATTCAGACGTGAACCGTTGTTGTCCTTACACTGAAGACCTTGGCAGCAGTGTGCCACAGGTACCTCTCTTCTCCTAGAATCACACAAGGGGTTCAGTTATGCTTTTTATTTTCCTGGCCCCCGCAAGCGGCACGTGGGATCTTAGTTCCCTGACCAGCGATCAGACCCTTTCCCCGCGCAGTGGAAGTGCAGAATCCTATGCACGGGACCACCAGGGAAATGCCCTAGAATCACTTAGAGAAAGGAGAGACTGAGACGCATTCCAGTGTAGCATGCCAGAAACCCAACAGTGCCTCATTCTGTCTTACATTGTCGTCCTGCAGGTAAACAGAGCAAACATCAACTTTCTGAGGAAACTGGTTCGAAATGGCCCTGAAGTTCACCCAGGAGCCAATTTCATCCAGCAGAGACACACGCAGATGAAGAGGTAATGCTTTCACAGTGTGGTCGGATGTAATTATCCCCTCGTGAATACTCAGCCACAGAATGCTGTCCGAAGTACATTATCGTGATATTTTAACATGTGGAAAACACCTGTTTTAATTGCAGTTAGCCTAAGTGCGTTTTTGTTTCTTCCGCTGGTTCTTTGAATGTATGCACAGTGTTCATTTATTCTCTAGCATTTAATGTTTAGGTAGATATAGCGCATTGGGATATGAAAGCAGATCATTTTCTGGGTCCCCTGGATGCTCTGGGGTTGCCTCAGTGCACTCATAACCCAGGAGGCACACATTTTGCCAGTTCTGGCTTTTCACAGCTGATCACCAGTGCTTTTCATCTCATGAAATTCAAACATCACCAGGGCCCTGTGCGAGAAGCCAATTTATTACTCAGTTTCTGTGACTCTAAGACATACTTTTTTATCATAGTTGGACATTTCTAAAATTAAGAGGTGTCCTACAATCAATTGGTTGTAGTTTAGGGACGTCCCTGGTGGTCCTTTGGTTAGGGCTTGGCACTTTCATTCCCAGGGGCCAGGGTTTAATTCTTGTTCGGGGAACTAGGATCCCACAGGCCACTTGGTGTGGCCAAAATATAAAGTTATGAAAACAGTTTTGCTCTTACGGTAGTTTAATTGACAGTGTGGAGGGAGGCACCTTAAATTCAGTGAAATGTGGTCATTTTAGCGACCGCATCTTGCTATGAAGAGGGAGAAACTTGCTGAGGAAGCTTTGTTCTGACAGGTTATGTCCATTATTGTATGTTAAGGTTTCTGAAATACGGGAACAGAGAAAAGATGGCCCAGGAGCTCAAGTTCGGGGACATTGTGGAGAGGCACCTCATAGATGGAGACGTGGTCCTATTCAACCGGCAACCCTCACTCCACAAATTGAGCATCATGGCACACCTGGTGAGCAGGAGACTGGTGTTTACATCTGCTGGGTGGAACTTTGCTGTGTGTACCACGCCAAAACCCCAGACATCTAAAATTTAAATTGCCAGTAATGTCAAATTTTCATAACTTTTGGTTTTCCTCTTCTCCATTTTAGTTTGAGTGAAACTCTTCAATTTCAAGCTTCCCTTCAATGTTTTTAATATTTATAACATACTATTCACACAACAGTGAAACAGGAACTAATTGAAAATTAGTATGAAAGTGACTACTGTGATTTCACTTGCAAACAACATAGATGCATATCTGTGTGTGCACAAAATTATGTAAAACAGACATGGCAGAAAATTGACTTGATTTAAAACAGCATATTAACTAAGGAACTGAAATGCTTACAGGATTTTTCTTTGCAGTTGTCCTCCAACTAAGACCTGAACGCATATTTTTTGGAGCAGTTTACTTTGCAACAGCAGCAGTTTCCTTTTCTGGAGACTTCAAATGGAAACAAGATGCAACTTCAATTTGTTAAATATTCATAAATTCTCCTATATGAAAAACCATTAAATCCCTCAGCACTTGCAAACAGGCTCCCAAGGTAGTGTTTAAATAGGCTCCTAAGGTAGTGTTTTTCTAGATTGATTTTTTTTTTTTCCAGTAGCTTGTGGAAACATTACATCAATCTTTTTGCTCAATGGCAGAAATACCAAAGATACATTTTATGATTATGGAGCTCTAGAAGGTGAACAAAAGCCTTCCCTTTCTGGAAACTTGGCCCATTTAACACAGGAATATTTTTATTTGAAAACTTTCAAATATATACAAAAGTAGAAAGAGTACTGTGATGAACTCACACATTCCCATCCTTTATATTCAGTAATTTTCAAGATTTTGCCACACTGGTTTTCTCTGTCCCTTTTTCCTTTGATGAAACCAGATGCCATGTCTTTTTTTCCATGTGTATTCAGCTTATTTCTGCAAAACACACATAGCTACAGTGCCATTATCACACCTCACCAAAATGAAGTCATTCCTTGGTATTGTCTAGTACCCCGTCCATAGTCAGATTGCCCCACGTGTCTCAGAAATCTTTTTGCAGCTAGTTTGTTCAAAGTGAGATCCAAAATTTACACATTTAATTGATCCACATCTTAAGCCCCTATTAATCTAGTACAGTCCTCCCTCCTCCTCTTAATTTCAGTGTCAAGTTTGAAAAAACCAGGTCATTTGTCCTGAAGAATGCTTCATGGTTTTTGTTTGTCTGCCCGTGTGTGGCAGACATGCTTCATTGTTTTCCTGTAAACTGGAAATAAGCTCTCAAAGCATAATCAGATTCAAATTCAACTTTTTGGTAGTAATAACTCATAGGTGGTGCCGGCTACATCCTCTTGCCATATTTCAGGAGGTGCACGATGGCTGGCTGGCTGTCTTAGCCATGGTAAGAAGGTGAGGGAGTCAGATGCCTCGGCGAGGTGCCTGCCTTGCAAAGTTCCTTATCAGAGACTCTTAAGAATCCCTGGGACTGCAAGGAGGTCAAACCAGTCAATCCTAAAGGATATCAGTCCTGAATATTCATTGGAGGGACTGATGCTGAAGCTCCAATACTTTGGCCACCTGATACAAAGAACTACCTCATTGGAAAAGACCCTAATGCTGGGAAAGATTGAAGGCAGAAGAAGAGGATGAGATAGTTGGATGGTATCACTGATTCAGTGGACATGAGTCTGAGTAAGCTCCAGGAGTTGGTGATGGACAGGGAAGCCTGGCATGCTGTAGTCCATGGGGTTGCAAAGAGTTGGACACAACTGAGCGACTGAACTGTACTAATGACCTCATCCATACCAGAACATACTAGGAATTTTCTTCCTTAATGTAAAGTGTCCAGTTCTGCAGGAAGCCTTTTTTTAAAATAATGCGTCTAAGAAGCTTTTGAATAAATGACTTATGTCCTTTTCCTGATTTGTTTTGTTTTGTATTCCACAGGCCAGGGTCAAGCCCCACCGGACTTTCAGATTTAATGAGTGTGTCTGTACACCCTACAATGCAGATTTTGATGGAGATGAAATGAACCTTCATCTTCCTCAAACAGAAGAAGCTAAAGCAGAAGCCCTTGTTCTCATGGGGGTATGTAGGGTGGTGCAGCCCAACTCCTGAGAAAAAGCTCCTTAAAAGGAGGAGAAGGAAAACAAGTCTTATTTGAAAACACCCCATAGTATGTAAGAGAGTTAGTTTCTCTCATAGGTGGGGAGTTGAGTGGACTGGGTATCTTCTGACCTGAAATGTGGGCTCCTAGGAGAATATATATACATGAGCACCAGTTATAAAAAGGTAAGACAGGGGTGTGTCAGAAACTTGACTGTTGGATATCATGGTCCATTCTACTTCAGATAAAGGATTTGAGCATATGCACCTTTTTTTTCCCCCTTTTGGCTGTGCCAAGCAGCTGCTTATAGGAACTTAGTTCCCTGACCAGGGATTGAACCCACAGCCTCAGCAGTGAAAGCACAGAGTACTAACCGCTGGGCTGCCAGCGAGTTCCCAAGCATATGCACCTCAATGTGCAGAACCTTCTTTAAATGGGGTACTTAGGCAGTGGACAGCTAGTGCCCGATTTTGCCCATGTAGGCACTCATTACATTTTGATGATTAATAAGTGCTGTTGTTCGAACTTAGTGTCTCAACCAAGAGAAACTTGACCATTCTGCCATTATTATAATTCCGTAGTGTGGAATTGATTGACTTCAAAGATAACACAGTGCTACTCATCATTCATAGAAGGAAATTTTCTTTGGAGAAGAGCATTTGTAATTACACTAACATCTTTTACCCAAAGAGTTCTTTATAACAACCCAGAACAACTCCACACAGTATTTAAATGTAGGGACCTCTGAGGTCAATCTTGCTGGTATTTTTTTCCTCTCCCATTGACAGATGTAGGCACTAGATGTTAGTGACAAAGCTGCAGTTAAGAACCAACCCCCAGCTTCCGGTTCATAGCCTCACCTTCCTGCTGTTCTTCATTTATCCATAACCATTAAGAGTGTTTGTGGTGAAGATTTTTGGGGCCGCCTCATGCATCCAAACATGGCTAACTTAGTGTGTTCCTTTTTCCTTCAGACTAAAGCAAACCTTGTAACACCAAGAAATGGAGAACCACTAATTGCTGCTATTCAGGATTTTCTGACAGGTGGGTTTTGTGGAATTTACTTGGAAAGAGGCTTTGGAACGCCAGGATTCTCATTTACACATTCACATGACCACTTGAAAAGCTGTTTAATTCTGTTGTTTGTGAGTGTGATTGTGTTAATGAACCATACACGAGATATTTTTTACTTTTCTAAGTGCTGGGGATGTAGCAATGAGTAACAAAGTCCCTTTCCTTGTGGAGGGTGGATTCTCCTTGGAAGAGAAAACCAAGAAGCAGCTGTGTTTTACCTCACTCTTTTAGTAATAGTCCATCTTTATTTTTAAAGTTGAAACCTTGTGATTTTTCTCACAATTTCATTCCTTTCCTTCATTTTGTGTTCTTTCTTAACATCCTCAGGTGCCTATCTCCTCACTCTTAAGGACACTTTCTTTGACCGAGCCAAAGCTTGTCAGATCATCGCTTCAATACTGGTGGGCAAGGATGAGAAAATTAGAGTTCGTCTCCCACCCCCCACAATACTAAAGGTTTGTGCAGGAGCTGTGACTGTGTCTGTACAGGTGCATCGGTGGTCTAGTGTACCCCCGCTGGTGCTGCGTAGGCCTGTGACCACTGTACCATCTTGCCTCATTGGTGTGAAGGGCAGGTGAGACCAGGCTCGGCCCACTGATGCTCTGGCTGCTCTCCTCCTCCAGCCTGTCACCCTGTGGACGGGAAAGCAGATCTTCAGCGTCATCCTCAGACCCAGCGATGACAATCCAGTGAGGGCCAACCTCCGAACCAAGGGCAAGCAGTACTGCGGCAGAGGAGAGGACCTCTGTGTCAATGACTCTTGTGAGTGAAAGCAGGTTGGGGCCAGGGCTCAGGAAGGCAAGTGGCCAGCAGTTCCCTTTGCTTTGCCAGTAAATCCCGTGTTTCTCTAAGGCCTTAGGCAGGAGGTTTGTTCTTCAGGGAAATGCAACTGGTGTTTCTCCAGAAGGTAGAGGTCATGTGGACACATGACCAACCCAGCGGTTAGAATGTTCTTCTCCACATGTTTTGTCTCAGGTGACTTGTTTCTGCCAATTAATGCAAATTCTTTTCTTCTTTTTCTGTTGTTGGTTTTTGTGTGTGTGTGTTTTGCTGTACAAGGGTCTCATTATTTACGACTTATAATTTATTATTTTATGTCCAAAAGTGTGTTCATTGTCTAAAAGTATAAGTAAGTGGGTTTCCTAAGTGGCTCAGTGGTAAAGAATCTGCTTGCCAATGCAGGAGACGCAGGAAATGGGTTGAATTTCTGGGTCAGAAAGATCTCCAGGAGGAAGAAATGGCAACCCACTCAGTATTCTTGCCTGGAAAATCCCATGGCCAGAGGAGCCCGTGGGCTGTGGTTCATTGGGTCGCCAAGAGTCGAACACACATGAGCAACGGAGCACACGTACATGACTAAAGACTATTATTGAAAAGGCTAATTTTTTTTACCTGCCTCACCTGGTCAGTGGATATTTTGATCACATGTAGATCAGGTGTAACAGTGCTGTGTTGCACTAAGTCATTGAGTCATGTCTGACTCTTTGTGACCCTATGGACTGTACCCCACCAGGCTCCCCTGTCCTTGGGATTCTCCTGGCAAGAATACTGGAGTGGGTTGCCATTTCCTTCTCCAAGGGGTCTTCCTGACCCAGGGACCGAACCTGCGGCTGTAGTCTCCTGCATTGGCAGGCAAGCTCTTTACCACTAACACCACCTGGGAAGCCCCAGGTGTAACAGTGAGAACATTTAAATATGAGTCCTTTGAGTCCCCTAGACTGATTCAGCCCAAGTGTGTTCCCCAGACCTATGCCATTCAAGCATCATTTACTTTCTCGGTCCCAGGCTGGTAACAGGAGCTTCCCCAGCAGACTGCTTTGAGTAACACTGATTTAGAATGGCCTTTGCTAGCAAGGCTTTGTGGCGAGAGGTGGATCTGCAGCCCTCTGTAGTGACAACTCAGCCACAAAGACTCTCTGAAGGTCAAGGATTCTCTGCTGTCTCATGATGAATAAATATTTTGAATTTTTTTTCTTCCCCCCCACCCCAGGTTTACAACCATTCTTTCATAAATGTACTCCCTGTTTTTAATGTATTTTGGCTTTTTGTTTTATATTGTGTTTTTGTTTCTAGATACAAATTTCATTTTGTCGTTTAGGCTTTTTACGATGGTGCCACTGCTAGTTTTCTGTGTCTTAGTGAATAACAAAGTGCTTTATAAACAACACTTTGTTGTACATCATTGAGTTGGTGCTCAAAACATCCCCATGACATAAAGACGGCAAGAGCTTGATAAGGATCACAGATAAAGACAATGAGAATCAACTAATACCTTTCAGAGTCAGGACTATAGGGTAACAAACTAGATCTTCCCTGCTTTTCAAAAGTTCCTAGATTTCTTCTTTTCACCCCTCAAAAAGAAATTTTTTAGACAGCATTTCTATTTGCTCTGCTCTAACTTAAAAAAAAAACAAAACAAATTTTCTCAACTGCCTTAAATTCATTTTGGAATGAGACAAAGTAACAGATAATCATTTCTGTGAGTCCATAATCTTTTTCCTTCCAGATGTCACAATCCAGAACAGCGAGCTGATGAGTGGCAGCATGGACAAAGGAACGCTGGGGTCAGGATCCAAGAACAACATTTTTTACATTTTGCTGCGAGACTGGGGGCAGAATGAAGCTGCCGATGCCATGTCACGGCTTGCCAGGCTGGCTCCCGTCTACTTGTGTGAGTGTCTTAGCGTCCTTGTTTTATTGCTATAGGTTATTGATGTTTTAGGGGGTTCTTTTACTATTTCATCCCCCTGCCCCAAACACATACAAACACAAAGAAAAGGATACTTGTTCCAGGCTAAACCATTTATGCTTTTCTTAAAGAAATAAACCTGATGCTGACCAATTTGACTGCAGATTCGAATTTGCTTTTCAGTTCTCTTCTCAAAAGCTACAGTAGCTCCCTAATGCCCGTGAGATACATGAGTTGTTACATAAAGGGCCTTCATGGGCTGCTTCCAGGGTAGGCTGTGCAAAACTGTCACCCTCTGGTTCTTCCACAGTTCAGCCTTACCTGCTGACTCATTATTTCCCTACTGTCTTTGTACACTAGGCCAGGAGATTTTCTTTGCATGCCCCAGAGTATTTTTAGTCTACTCTTACACTTGACTTTTTGGCTGAGTGTAGAATTATAGACTGAATGTTATTTTCCCTGAGAATTTTGAAGGTATTACTCTACTCTGTTCTTTCAGGGTTGCTGTAAAATGTATTTCCCTTCTTATTCCCAACTTTTTTTAGTTTTTGGGTAACCCAGTTTAGTTTACCCAGTTATATACATATATGCATTCTTTTTTTTTTTTAAGTATTCTTTTCCATTGTGGTTTTTTACAGGATATTGAATATAACTCCCTGAGCTGTACTTTAGGACCTTGTTCATTCTGAATTGTCTTTTTATTCTGGAAGCTTTGAGAATCCTCTTTGTTTCTGGCATTCTGAAAGTTCACAGTGACGCAGCCTCAGGATGTTTATCATCCATTGTGCTGAGCGCTCTACAAGCTCTCTCAATCTGCAACATGTATCCTTCAGATCTGGAAATTTTCTTGTACTTTTTCTGATCATAGCCTCTCTTTTACTTTCTGTCTTCTTGCTTTTTGGAATTTCTGTTAATTGTCTAGTAGAGTTCTTGGAGTGATTCTCTAATTTTCTCTTTTTCCCTGTTGTCCATTTATTTGTCTCTGGATTCAGTTTTCTTTTTAACACTGCTTCTGTTTTTTTTTTTTTTTCCCCAGTATCATATATTTAATTTCCAGCCATTGTTCTTATTTGCCAGTAGTTCTTTTCTCTTTGTTTCCTTCTTTCTTCTCTTTTTAAGACTTCCTATTCTTTTTTTTCTTCATTTATTTTTATTAGTTAGAGGCTAATTACTTTACAATATTACAGTGGTTTTTGCCATACATTGACATGAATCAGCCATGGATTTACATGTGTTCCCCATCCCAATCCCCCCTCCCGCCTCCCTCCCCACCCCATCCCTCTGGGTCTTCCTAGTGCCCCCATCCCTGAGCACTTGTCTCATGCACCCAACCTGGGCTGGTGGTCTGTTTCACCCTTGATAGTATACTTGTTTCAATGCTGTTCTCTCAGAACATCCCACCCTCGCCTTCTCCCACAGAGTCCCAAAGTCTGTTCTGTACATCTGTGTCTCTTTTTATGTTTTGCATATAGAGTTATCATTACCATCTTTTTAAATTCCATATATATGTGTTAGTATACTATATTGGTCTTTATCTTTCCGGCTTACTTCACTCTGTATAATGGGCTCCAGTTTCATCCATCTCATTAGAACTGATTCAAATGAATTCTTTTTAATGGCTGAGTAATATTCCATGGTGTATATGTACCACAGCTTTCTTATCCATTCGTCTGCTGATGGGCATCTAGGTTGTTTCCATGTCCTGGCTATTATAAACAGTGCTACGATGAACATTGGGGTGCACATGTCTCTTTCAGATCTGGTTTCCTCGGTGTGTATGCCCAGAAGTGGGATTGCTGGGTCATATGGCAGTTCTATTTCCAGTTTTTTAAGGAATCTCCACACTGTTCTCCATAGTGGCTGTACTAGTTTGCATTCCCACCAACAGTGTAAGAGGGTTCCCTTTTCTCCACACCCTCTCCAGCATTTATTGCTTGTAGACTTGGATAGCAGCCATCCTGACTGGCGTGTAATGGTATCTCGTTATGGTTTTGGTTTGCATTTCTCTGATAATGAGTGATGTTGAGCATCTTTTCATGTGTTTGTTAGCCATCTGTATGTCTTCTTTGGAGAAATGTCTGTTTAGATCTTTGGCCCATTTTTTGATTGGGTCATTTATTTTTCTGTAATTGAGCTGCAGGAGTGGCTTGTATATTTTTGAGATTAATCCTTTGTCTGTTTCTTCATTTGCTATTATTTTCTCCCAATCTGAGGGCTGTCTTTCCATCTTGCTTATAGTTTCCTTTGTTGTGCAAAAGCTTTTAAATTTGATTAGGTCCATTTGTTTATTTTTGCTTTTATTTCCAGTATTCTGGGAGGTGGGTCATAGAGGATCCTGCTGTGATATATGTCGGAGAGGGTTTTGCCTATGTTCTCCTCTAGGAGTTTTATAGTTTCTGGTCTTACATTTAGATCTTTAATCCATTTTGAGTTTATTTTTGTGTATGGTGTTAGGTCTTTTGTTAGAAGGTGTTCTAGTTTCATTCTTTTACAAGTGGCTGACCAGTTTTCCCAGCACCTCTTGTTAAAGAGGTTGTCTTTTTTCCATTGTATGTCCTTGCCTCCTTTGTTGAAGATAAGGTGTCCATAGGTTTGTGGATTTATCTCTGGGCTTTCTGTTCTGTTCCATTGATAAGAATATTCTGTTCTATATTTCTGTCTTTGTGCCAGTACCGTACTGTCTTGATGACTGTGGCTTTGAAGTCAGGCAGGTTGATTCCTCCAGTTCCATTCTTCTTTCTCAAGATTACTTTGGCTATTCGAGGTTTTTTGTATTTCCATACAAATTGTGAAAGTATTTGTTCTAGTTCTATAAAAAAAAAGCCGTTGGTAGCTTGATAGGGATTGCATTGAATCTATAGATTGCTTTGGGTAGTATAGCCATTTTCACAATATTGATTCTTCCAATCCATGAACACGGTATATTTCTCCATCTATTTGTGTCCTCTTTGATTTCTTTCCTCAGTGTTTTATAGTTTTCTATATATAGGTCTTTTGTTTCTTTAGGTAGATATAGTCCTAAGTATTTTATTCTTTTTGTTGCAATGGTGAATGGTATTGTTTCCTTAATTTCTCTTTCTGTTTTCTCATTGTTAGCATATAGGAATGCAAGGGATTTCTGTGTGTTAATTTTATATCCTGCAACATTACTGTATTCATTGATTAGCTGTAGTAATTTTCTGGTAGAAGGACTTCCTATTCTTGATGCTCAAATACCTCTTCTATAGGACTCTGTTTCCTACAGAGGGAAGGGCCTGAGGCCTCTTTTTTTATAGACGGACCTCAGAGACATTGCACGTTTGGTTCTAGACCACCATGATGAAGCATGTATAATAATCAAGCAACTCATAGGAATGTTTTGGCTTCCCAGTGCATAAAAACTTGTTTGTACTATACTGTAGTCTTATTAAGTGTGCAATAGTCTTGTGTGTTAACATGTTGTTATTCAGTCACTAAGCTGTGTCTGACTCTTTGTCACTCATAAACTGCAGCACACACATGAAGTTTCCTTGTGTTTCCCAGAGTTTGCTCATATTCTTGTCCATTGAATCAGTGATACTATCTAACCATCTCATCCTCTGCCACCGTCTTCTTTTGCTTTCAGTTTTTCTCAGCAACAGGGTCTTTTCCAATGAGTCAGCTCTTCATATCAGGTGGCCAAAGTATTGGAGCTTCAGCTTTAATATCAATCCTTTCCAGTGAATGTTCAGGGTTGATTTCCTTTAGGATTGACTGGTTTGATCTCCTTGAGTCTACCGGACTCTAATGAGTCTTCTCCAACACCAGTTCGAAGGCATCAATTCTTCAGTGCTCAGCCTTCTTTATGATCCAACACTCACATCCATACATGACTACTAGAAAAACCATAGTTTTGATTATACAGGCATTTGTCAGCAACATGATGTCTCTGCTTTTTAATATGTTGTCTAGGTTTGTCATAACTTTTCTTCCAAGTAGCAGGTGTCTTAGTTTCATGGCTGTAGTCACCATCCACAGTGATTTTGGATCCAAGAAAATAAAATCTGTCACTTTTTCCCCATCTATTTGCCATGAAGTGATGGGATCGGATGCAATGATCTTAGTGTCTTACATGTACACACCTTAATAAAAAAAAGACTTTATTGCTGAAAAATGCTAATCATTTGAGCCTTCAGTGAGTCATAATAATAACAGCACAGAGCATCATAAAAACATAGTAATGAAAGCATTTAAAATACCGTGAGAATTACTGAAATTCAACATAGAGACACAAAGTGAACAAATACCATTGGAAAAATTGTGCTTTTAGACTTGTTCAAATACAGGGTTGCCACAAACCTATTTTTAAAGAAACACTATCTATGAAGCACAGTAGAAAAAGATGTACCTGTACAAACTTTCCACCCGCGTTTCCCCATTTGCAGCTTATACGTAACCTCCAACAGAACCTGAGGATTTGTTTCTGAGACTTTCAGACTCAGTGGCCCTCCTTTCCACAGCCACTTTTCAGCATCCCCTTCCCCACCCTGTTAATCCAGTTGCCCCTCACCTGCCCACTTGCTACAGGTGTTAGGGTTAGGATTATTGATGGCAGATAGTTCCATCAAAGGTAGAGTTCACATCTGTTTTCTATCCTCTATTTTGGAACGATTTCTGAAAAAGAGAATTGGAGCAGAGAGGTGTCTGGGATGCTGAGCGCCAGCCGTCGGGTAGCCCACTTTCTACAACTGGCTCTCAGTCTCTCTTTCCTGTTCAGTGACTGTCTGCTTTATAATATAGTTGGGACATCCCTGTACTCCATACCAGGTTGTGAGCTCTCTGAGGGGAGTTAGTGAGTCTTAGTCATCTTTGTGTAACAACCTAGGGACCGGTACAGTAAGTTTTTGTTTAACTGGCTTGCAGCAAGTTCTCTGAAGGTAAAGACTTGTTTCTGCATAACAGGTTGACTAACATCAATGGTTCTCTCTTTCGGCTCTCCCCGCCAACCCTTCTGCAGCTAACCGTGGATTCTCAATCGGGATTGGTGACGTCACACCTGGCCAAGGGCTGCTGAAGGCCAAGTATGAGTTGCTGAATGCTGGCTACAAAAAATGCGATGAGTACATCGAAGCCCTGAACACAGGCAAGCTGCAGCAGCAGCCCGGCTGCACCGCCGAGGAGACTCTGGAGGTGAGTCTGGCTCTCTGGGTCAGCTTAGCCGCCAGTGGCATTGTAGGCCCTGAAGAGAAGCGACAGAGGTGAGTGGAGAGGAAAGGCCGTGTCTTTAGCCCGTCTCTGAGCTGTGCAGCTCCTGTGTGTTTTAATGATGGGAGGGCCTCCCATGAAATCTGCTCCATCCCTTCCACCTTTCGTGTTCCAGGTAGTGAACAGCTATCTGTTCATTTGGCCACATGGGGCTGCTCTTGTTCCATCATCACACCTGGGCCCCTTCTGTCCCTAGTACTTCAGTGCTTTTGCTCTATTACCAGCATCCTGGGAGCAGACTGATACCACAGCTTTGAAAGGATGGTCTTTGAAAGAGACATAGTGAATTCATGTTTGAGAGTCACGGTCCAGTCTGTTGCACGTTCCAGTCCTGTTCCAGTCTGGAGCTAAGTTAGCTGAGAACTGGATCTGCAGATGTCAGAGTCAGAATGGCTGGAGAGTCCTGCGTTTTCTCTGAGCAGCCTGCCTTCACAGTCTGGCTGCACCAGGGCCCTGTCTGACTCTCTTCTGCCTGCAAGTAGCCTGGCGCTCAGAGCTTTAACTCAACTAAGTAGGGAAGAAAGGACTTTTGAAAAATAAAAAAAAATTTTTTTTTTAATTTTATTTGTATATCTTTTGGTTGCACTGGGTCTTGGTTGTTGTGTGTGGGCTTTCTCTAGTTGCAGTGAGCGAGGGCTGCTCTTCACTATGGTGCACTAGCTTCCCATTGCAGTGGCTTCTCTTATTGCAGAGCACGAGGCTCCAGGGCACGCAGGCTTCAGTAATTGCCGCATGTGGACTCAGTAGTTGCAGCTCCTGGGCTCGCCGGCACAGGCTCAGCAGTGGTGGCACACAGGCTTAGTTGCTCCAAGGCATGTGGGGTCTTCCCAGACCAGGGTTCAAACCCATGTCTTTCTGCATTGGCAGGCAGATTCTTTACCACTGAGCCACCAGGGAAACCCCAATAAGAAATTTTCTGATGAACTTTTTAAAGCAAAAAGAAAGCAGAGTTGTGTGAGGTGTTCACAATTAGCTCATTCTTAATATAAGTCTTAAAAACAGAAAGAGAGAAAAATGAGGTGTTTCTCACCTAGAAGATTACTTGAGGCCTCAGGTGCACTCCTCTTTAGCAGAAGCATGATTCCTAGCTGATTGAGCATCATAGGTTGTGGGTTGAGGGATGGCAATCTAGATGAGCTCATGGACTAGAGTATTCCTGTTGAGTTGCCTAATCACATGCCCAGCTGGTGGGAATTCAAGTGTGTGCTTGGCAGAGACAAATTTTACATACAGCACACGCCACTCGGTTTTAGTACGTATTACAAAATGTCATATAAAGTACAAAATGTTATACATGTGTATACACAGTATACACCAGCATGTGTATATGCAGTAATGTATATAATATATATATACAGAGACACTGCTATGTAGGATATATACACAAAGCTGCATATATTCTACCTCATTGGCCATTTAAATGTTTTTCCGAGGTTTTGTTACTAACCATTTTTTTCTTACACACTGATTACACACACTGGGACTTCCCAGGTGGCGCTAGTGGTAAAGAATCTGCCTGCCAATGCAGGAGACATAAGAGACGTGAGTTCTATCCCTGGGTCAGGAAGATCCCCTGGAGAAAGGCATGGCAACCCCCTCCAGTATTCTTGCCTGGAGAATCCCAGGGCCAGAGGAACCTGACAGGCTACAGTCCATAGGGCCGCTAAGAGTAGGACACAACTGAAGTGACTTAGCACCTGGAAAATGTCAGTCTGTGGAGATAGGACATCTTGGTCTTCTAAGGTCTGAAACCTTTTATCTGCTGGAAATCTGACATCTCTCTTGAATTCTTCACATTCTCTTAAATGTCACGTTGAACATTGGTAATCACGTGGGCACTGTGCACCTCTCTCTCTCTCCCGCCAGGCTTTGATCCTGAAGGAGCTGTCTGTGATCCGTGACCACGCAGGTAGCGCCTGCCTCCGGGAGCTGGACAAGAGCAACAGTCCCCTCACCATGGCTCTGTGTGGTTCCAAAGGTGAGCGCCTCCTCTGGCTGCTGCTGTCACTGCATTCCATGCAGGCTGGCTGGTTGTGCTCTGGAAAATGTGCGTCAGGACGTCAGGCCTAGAATCCCCTGGTTGTTGTCCAGTGGTTAGGACTCAGTGCTTTCACTACCCAGGCCCAGGTTCAATCCCTGCTCAGGGAACTAAGATCCCACAAGCTACGCAGCAGGCCCCTCTCCACCGCCCAAAAAAAAAAAAAGAGCTTCAGGCCTTTTGTTTATAAGGGTGTATCTTTTCAAGTAATGCTTAGAGAAGGAGACGGTTGTTTGCATTTTTAGAATGTCTAACTCCATTGGAGAAACTTGTTTATCATGTGTGTGGATTTCTGAGTTTGAGGGTGCTTTGAGTAAAATTGGTCTTATTTTTTTGAAGAAAGAAAGAAGAGCCAGGGATTTTTAAAATAATACGTTTGATGATAATTAAATACACTTAAATTTTATAGTTAGTCAGGACCTGAAAGTGTTAGGTTTCATGATGCTGCACTCAAATTCAGAACCCTGAGCTTTGCAGACTTCCTGTTTTCATGAATTTCTGACAGACTAAAGTCTAGTCTCTTTAGCCTTGCTGTCCTTCACCACATAGTCTCCCCCCTGCTCCTGGTGCACACCCCACACTCCTGTCCTGGGTCTCTGCTTCCCACTTTCTGACCCACTTTGGAACTCCTCCCCCATGTCCTCTATGTGGAAGTCCTAATCTTCTCCAGGAGTCCAGCTGGTTGACGCTGCCTTCTCGAATACTCCCCTGGAAGTCTCTCCTCCAGCCCCAGGGTGCTCATCCGCCCCTGGGCTCTAGCCCTGCCTGGCCTTCCTTGTGTTACTGACATCTCTATCCTTGCTGTTCTGGTTCTGTCCTTCACTGTCCCTAGAGCATGAACTTGTTGAGGATGGGGTCTGTACCGCGTTGTATTCCTGTTTTACCAACGGATCTGCTTGTGCTTCAGTTACTGTGATTTTGGTAAATGAATGTTCCATTTCTGACCTGCTTCCCTAGGTTCCTTCATTAACATATCACAGATGATTGCCTGTGTGGGACAGCAAGCTATCAGTGGCTCTCGAGTGCCAGATGGCTTTGAAAACAGGTCCCTGCCTCACTTTGAAAAACACTCAAAGGTAAGCAGGAGTGGATCAGATACAACTTTGAAGGCCAACCTTCAGCAGCACGAAAGAGTGACCGAAACTCTGAGGCTGCCAATTAGGCAACTCCTAAAGCTGGTATAGAGGCTGGGGACCACTCAGGGTTATTCCCTCTGCAGGAATAACTTGATTGAGTCCTGTAGAAGGAGCCTCATGAAACTCGGAGCTGTAAAACTTGGACCAGTGCCCTTTTGTATATTTTCTCTTCTAAGGAGGAGGATGTCAGTTTCCCATCCAGCTTTACCTTAAGTAATCTGAATGTGTTGTTATCATTTGTGTGCATTCAATCTGTATGCTTATTTTAGGGAGCACTTACATAAAAGTATAAAGATTTTTAAACAGTGAACATGTGAACCACAGTGAAACAAACCAGGAAATTCCAGGTTCTCTTTGGAATTCCTAAACTGCCTGTAAATGACTTCTGAGTTCCATTGGCCCTCTTGGTCTGGGCACTAGTGTCAGCATAGTGAGATAGACAGGCCTATATTGGTGTTTTCTGAGATTCTGGGGTAGATAACTATTAAATGAACAGTTGAGGAACTTAGAGCTGATTTGGTCACTTAGTAATTCTGGATGGAGTCAACTGTTATTCACACTAAAACACAGATGCCCCAGCTCCTCCTGGCCTGAGGAGCTGTAGGACTTATGGCCAGCCCCACCTGGGGCGATGGGACTGCTGCGCTGAAATTGACAGACACTGTATCAAGTGGCCCCAGGAACAACTTGGGCTTTCTGCCCAAGATTAGAATTTGTTAGAAGTCAGGCAGCCAGCAAGTCACTGGAGTGGTACCTGACTGTGCTTATATGGCTCGGAGTCAAAGCCTGACCAATTTAAAAGAGATTCCAAGGACATCTAGTGCCAGACTTTGGGGTAGATGGTACTTGCCTAGAAGTGCCTTTGAGTATGCCAGCTGCCCCTTAAGTGAAATGGGGGCAAGAGGATTTTAGCCTATTCATCTGAATTGTCCTCCAAGGAACACGAACTTGTCCAGATCAAAGGCCATTTGGCATTTCATAGGGTGTTTTTTATATGTGGGTTTTTTTGTTTTCTTACAGTTGTTTTTTTTTCTCTTAATATTCACCCATTTAAAGTGTAGAGTTCAGCAGCTTAGTGTATTCACAGAGTTGCGTGATCATCATCGTAATCTAAATTTTAGGATATTTTCAACAGCCCAAAAATGAATCCCCATAAACTGTAGCAGCACACAGCTATGTTTTGGAGGTGGACAGGTCCAGCCTGCAGGCAGGTGTCTTGGGGGTAGTCGTTTCCCGGGAGAAGGCCCGGGTGCCCGCTAAACTGAGACCCGTGACCGCCTGCCTGCTCTAGGAGTAGCAGCCCAAGGTTCCGTGTCCCTCTCCTGAGCCATCTGGCTGCCACTGGCACGAGCACCACCCTGGCTGGGACCTCACTCTCCTTGTCTCTGGTAAGGATGGTTTGAACTAAGTTATTTCTTCTTTAGGAAAGGGCATAAAACATGGGAGTGCATTGGCCAGGTATTTATAGTCTAAAGGTGAGGTGTTTTCTGATTTGAATGGGTCTTGGCATTGTGGACCTTAAACTTTTTTTGTTAGATCTTTATTTATTTTTTTCCCTACCACTCTTTAGCTCCCAGCTGCCAAAGGCTTTGTGGCTAATAGCTTTTATTCCGGTTTGACACCAACCGAGTTTTTCTTCCACACGATGGCTGGCCGGGAAGGTCTGGTTGACACAGCCGTGAAGACAGCTGAGACAGGATATATGCAGGTAACCTGAAGAAATGTAGGCCATTAGCAGTGAAGCCGGACAGGTCTGCAGATCTTGACTGCTGAGTGTTTGTACCTGACTTCTGATTTATGAAGTCTTGGCATTTAAAAGGAAAAACTGAAAGATGTAAATGTCCTAAAAATAAACAGCACAAAAAAGTAAGATGTTTAAAAAACAAAAAGTTCAAAATCAGTGTCTCCTTCAAATGGTGCAGACCAGGCTAGAACCACATGTACCAAAGCCCTGCTGGAAGAGAACATGGACCAGAAGTCCCCGGGCACGTCATCTCACTGAGTCACTACTTCCTAATACACGGAGATAGGGTGACAGTACCCACCTCCTGATTACACACCGAGAGGGCCGTGCTCACCGTGCCGCCGTTTATGTAATCCATCATCAGTGTCACTCTCAGGGACGCAGAGAGCCTGTTCCACTGCCTGCAGGAGGGCTTGGGCACTTGGAGGGCTGCCTCTTTCTCCATTGTATATATAGTTGTCAGAGAGTAGTCTTTAGGGACAGGACTGAGCTACATCCTTTTTATGCCTGTGTTTCTGAGACTGCCACAGAGGTACATCCTAGACAGCAGAAGGGTGAAAACACATACTACCTTGTGCTTCCATAAGACCACAAACAAAGGATCTCTCTCAGCCTCTCATTCTCATTTCTACCTTGTACTCCATAATCTACACTCTGTTTTTGCTTTTTGTTTTGCCATTGGTTTTGGTTTTGGTGTGGTTTTTTTTTTTTTTTTTGATGATTTTATCAGCTTACAATACATGCTGAGGTTAACACTCCAAGTTGCTAGGCTATGAATTGCTATGGTTTTGTGTCCCTTTTCTCCCCACCATGGACTGAGAAGCACAGCCCTTGGCAAGCAGGGAAACCAGGAGTGATAAACCAGAGATGTGAATGAGTAAGCCAGGATACACAAGGTTAATGAGAGCAAAATGGACTCAAGTCAGTACCCACCTGTTTCCATAACCTCTCATCTGTCCCCTGTGTAGCATTACTGATGGTGCTTCCCTTTTAATCATCTTTTAATGGGAAATCGCCCTTTAGCTTCAGAGTGTGCTTTTGTCAGAAACCTAACAGACTGTGAAATGCTTTTAACACTCTTACCCAAATGTCTATTGACTTTATTTTTTGTCCTTTACCTTTCTAAAGTTGAGAGTATGACTTTCCCAGAGCGGCTTGTTAACCTAGAACAAATTACTTCTGGCATGAGGGATTTTTGTTTTGAAGTTGCCTGGAGGAAGATTTCTTTCCCTTTAACTCATTGAACCCCTTCACCCCGCTGGCTGGAGGGTTCTGCTGGTGGAAGGCTCTCCCTAAGCAGATTTGAGAAATGGCTGCTGCCTGCTGGTTCAAACACAACACCAGTCCTGTTCTCTCTTCTTACCCATCGGTCCCAGAAAAGAACCTGCACCAGATCCTCTGTAATTCATATTGAAGTCCACAGGGGTCCCAGATTAATTTGTGTTTAGAAATGCAAAGCAATTGCATTAATTTAAACCTTAGGGAGACAGAGAGGGAAGGCAGAGCAGCCTAGGAAAACAGTGTTTGCACAGTCCTTCGGGGGTGATGGGGTTTAAAGTGCATGTATTTTAAAACACAGTGGAGTGTGGAGCGTATTCTAAATCCCACTGCACAGGCTAGTGAGGCACTTGTGGGGCCATTTTTGAGGTCAGGGACTCTTTAAGGGATTTCTAATGTTTTTATGTGATTAAAAGCACTGATAGCCTTGAAACTCAGTTGTAAATATCAACCTTCGTACACGTGACTAGTGCTCTCAAAGCACCTGAACTTTCATCTCCTCTCCTCCTCTTCATTCAGAGAAGGCTCGTCAAGTCCCTGGAAGATCTTTGCTCACAGTATGACCTGACAGTCCGCAGCTCTACGGGCGACATCATCCAGTTCATTTACGGGGGAGACGGCTTAGATCCTGCAGCCATGGAGGGGAAAGATGAGCCCTTGGAGTTTAAAAGGGTTCTGGACAACATCAAAGTAAGATTAAGCATTATATCTGTGAGCGTTTTCAAGGATATTTCTTTAGAATGGTTGTGCCTTTGGCATAGCACACAGTTAACGCTGTCATGTCTACCCAACCACTGAGATAGTGTTTGTCTTTTGTATTCACTTTGCATAATTTTCCCCAGGTATTAACGAAAGAGAGTTTCTCAATTGCAAAGTCTAGTTATTGGTAGTAAACCAATGCCAGTGGAAGAGGGCCTTGTCTTCTTACCAGTGTCTAGTAAAGTGTGATAGAGACCGTGTAAAAGTCATGGGTGTGGAGAAGCAGGCCTGTTTCACATACTTTTAACGGGGATATAATTTAGAGCAAGATTTTTGAGAGGTAGCTGGACAGTGTTGATCTGAATTTAAATCTGAGTGCCCTTGAGCAATACTTAAATTTCACTTATAGGAATTTGCCCTACAGAAATGATCTAAATGTGCCAAGAATGTTCTTCCAGCATTGTTTATATCAGATACAGGCCATCTGTGGAGGACAGGTCAAACATGGAATGGTCTGTCCACAGGGTAGGGTGCAGTGTAACCATTAAAACTCTGAGGGAAAACCCATGAGCTTGGGGGTGGAGAAGTATTTTCACACTTGATTTTTTTTTTTTTTTTTTCATAACAGCAGTTTATGGTTTTAGCGCAGATATGGGGCGGGGTGAAGGTTGGGAAGGAATGACCCAATACCCACTGAATAGCCCACAAGCCGTTACGTAAGGTGGAGTATCAGTTTATGCTGTTTTCACCTTCGTATTAAAGGTAGAGTCTACAATGCGTTAAGACAAAAACATCACAGGTTGCTGAAAGCTCACTCTGGGTGAGGTTGTTTTGTCTCTTATAAACTCCTTCACTGAATACTGCCCCCTGCCCCCCTCCAAATCACACTGTTTCCTTTCGATACTCGAGGCAGTCTTCCCATGCCGGAGCGAGCCTGCTCTCAGTAAGAATGAGCTGCTCCTGAGCGCCGAGTCCATCATGAAGAAGAACGAGTTTCTCTGCTGCCAGGACAGCTTCCTGCAGGTGAGCTCTGCGGGGGCTGTGCCCCTAACTTGGCCGTCACCAAGGAATCATTCCCCAGGTGCCGACAGTGAAGTATATAAGCTGGGGGTGCTTGTGTAAGTGTTTCTTGTTAGAAGATTTAAGAGTGGCCCAGGCAGGAGGATCTCAGCAGTCCACATAAAGAATTTATCTCATGTCTTTTTTAGTTTGTCTTTTACACAAGTGTTTCTCTGGTAGAAGATGAGTGCTCTAGTTAAGAGAACTGTTTTTTTTTTAATTTTTTTTTTAACCCTGTCTCTATCGCCCCCTGCCACCCAGTTTTTCATCCTGTGGGCCAACTCCTCCCTCAGTGGTTTTGAAACCCAGTAATTTGTAATAATAAGAGCATTGTTTTAATGCCATTTATTGTGCTTTATACAATAAATGATGCAGTAGTGTTTATTTAATACCATCATTATTTTAAATTGCTTTTTTTCTTTCCACAATATGGGTTAGAAATGTAGTCATCCTTCGTTTTTCTTCCAGGGACCTGTTACTTGACATCCTCTTAGTTTTTTAGTTTGTTTTTATTTTACAGACCTTCTCCTTTTTATTGATAATCGTGGTTATGATCAAAAGCAAAGGAATACAGGAGTCAGTACATGGTTCCCTGCGTATACTGATTGGTGATTCAAATATAGCACGAAATATATCCCTTGAAGTATATAAAAAATAAAAACAGTAAGACACTTAAATAAGGATATTTTAGTTACCAGCTCTTCACTCTTTGACATGGTAAGATACAAAAGGTGAAAAAGAGACTCTTCCAGATTTTAATACATTTAAAATTAAAGAGCCTGACTAAGCTGAGTGCCTTCATTTTGTTTTTGTTGCTTCACAAGTTTGTTTCTTTAAGTAACAAATGAGAGGTGTGATTTGGTTTTTCTCCATGACTATATTCACTTATTTATGTTTCTGTTTCTCCTTGAAGACCTTAACTGAGACAGGCTATGAGAAATACAACGAGGTAACGTGCTTCCACGCTGTGGCTGCCGAGCAGGGGGCATGGCTGTGCTGCGCCCCAGCGGTCTGCCAGCCCCAGGCACTGCGGAGCGCTGGCCCAGTGCGGCCGGCAGGGCTTCCCCTTCCTCACTTGGCCCAGGCCCTTTCTTGCCTAGACGTGGTTTTACAGTGGTCCCCTGACCAGCAGCGCTTGTGGGTTCAGCGAGCACTTGTTCATCCGTCCCGTCCCCATCTGTCACACACCCCGCAGATCCAAGGCCGCAGAGGTGACTGAACGTGTCCTCACCCTCCAGTCACTCAGTCTGAGCTCAGGGTTGCCGAGGGATTCCAGAATTCGCCGACCAGAACAGATTCATCTGAGCTGAGAAAACATCATCTGGCTGTAGTGTCAGAGCTGGGGAGGCAGAGAGAACTCCTGGGTGATGCTGAGCCCTAGCCCTGCCAGAAGCCGGCAGCCAGGCTCACTCACATGCTGCGAGCTGAGTGTGAGCGTTAGCTGCTGGTCAGCCGTGTGATTAACAGCCTGCCGGTTGCCGTGTTCTGAGTTCCCTTGGTCTGCATGAGTTAATCCTGCTGAGTTCTTAGTGGCTTATCTCAGTTTCCCCTTCCAAAAAGGGAGCTTTTTTCCTTTTAACCTAACTTCCAGAATATCTGCCATAACTCTTGGGTGAGGGAACTCATTCCTTTTAGCAAAGCCACTGCCAGAAGCATGTCCACATGGGTGGCAGCTGAAAGCTGTCCCTTCGCAGCACCCAAACTGGGAAATGGTGTGAGGAGTGTGCTGTTGACTGCTCGTATGTACGGACTTCCTCAACAGATGAAAACCCCCTGGATCGGCTTGGCCTTGGGTTCTGGCCCCGGTTTCCCTGTGCCAACAGGTGGGGCAGCCTTGAACACCTGGCAGGCAAATGGCAACATGTGGGTCAGGAGGGCTTTCAGAGGCTCGCCTTAGAGGACACAACCACAGCTAGATAAGTAGGCTCAGGGAGGCAGTCACCCATTGAAGGACGCTCTTAATACTGAATGATACAGAGGAGAAACTAGGTGGCAGCGGGTTTTATTGCTGATGAGGATCCCGCTTGAAGGCAGAGCCACCCCAGGGGAGGTTGTTCCCCTACCCTCTCCAGCTCTAAGTTCTACCTCTGATTTGTAACAACTATATCTGAAAAATGTGGCCTCAAACCTGTAATTAACAAGCCTATAGAGTCTCTCTTTAAAGAGTCTCTTGAGAATTTTCAAGTTCTTTTACATTAGTTTAAGTTCTTTCTTAAAGAAAAGTCTTTCTGCATAGAATGATGGCTGAGTGGCTTGGTAACCTTCCACTCTTTGTCGGAGAGGGGAGTTGACCAACAAGGACAGTCATGGGAAGCCTGTGTTCATGAACAAGGGACAACCCAGGTGTGCTGGAGTCCACCCTTATAGCCCCCCGATCACCTGGGCTCCTGGGAGCCAGTCTGAAGTGTCCAGCAGGCCAAGACGACTTTGCAGAAAACCTCTCCCCTGAGTGTAGACTGTGCAGAAACACTTGGCTTTGTAGAGGGGCCTGTTCCCTTGGCCAAGCCCTGACCTTCTTCAGCCCAAATGGCCTCAGCTCTGGAATGATGGAGCCAGTGTCCTGCCGCCCCACAGGGAGAGCACACCATGCTGGACAGCAAGTGACTAAGAAGAGTTTGTGGACATAGACCGTGTGGACCCCAGAAGTTCTCATTTTTTGCTTTCAGAAAAGATAGTAACTAGAAATTGCTCACTAGTCTATGGTAGGCTGGAGAGATTTATTTTTGCAATGTTAGGACAAAACCTGGCTAGTTAAGTCTCACGCTATCTGTAAATGCCTTATAGAATTTTATTTTTGCGAAAGTGGGGGCTTCTGGTCCAGTCTGCCCTTTGAAACATTTGTTTCAGACAAAACTTTAGATACTTTCAGCTGTGATACAGATTGAGTAGACACTGGGCAGGCATGCTGGTCTTCTGCTATAGTTATCCTCACTTGAGAAATAAGACCTAGTGAGGCTTTGCAGCCATCACAACAGTTGTCCACCCTTGGGCCTGCCCAGGGGTTTGTCCAGGTGTGTGGATCTGACCAGCCAGCCGCACAAAGCATCTGGATGCCTGCACTTGGCCAGAGTGACCCCCAACCCCCAATTTGTCCAGAATTATTGAGGGAAATCATATTTCCCTGAGGGTCGCTGGGAGGAAGCATAGTCTATCCACCCTTTCCCTTACTGTCAGAAACACCCCTGGGTGAAACCAGAGCAGCAGATGTGCTTTCTCTGAAGGATATAACTACTAGATTGCATGTGTCCTCGGCTCACCTGAGAGGTGCTCTAGGAGTCAACCCCATGGTGCGTGGTGTGTGCTGGCAACAGGACATGGATGTGTGTGGTCCATTAAACACACCACACCCTCTGTGAGAACTCAAAAGGAGATGCTGGCTGATCCTGGTTCTAGGAGCAACCATAAGGCTGGGTTTACTTCACAGACACATACCAAATTATAAAGCATATGGGTTTTCCCCTCAGACTGGTTACCAGAAAACTTGGGCCTGTCATTTCTAGCCATGCCCTATGGATCTTTTCATACAATGTAATTCTCTTCACCTTTCTTGCTCCATTTTGTCATCATCCCAGGGCTTAGAGCTCTATTCTTAAAATATAGCAGGAGCAACAGATAGGTTGATATTTCATTTCCAGCTTTGAGAGTGATTTCCTGGAGGCCTTACAAAGTTCTGACTATGTGTGGGAAGGGAGACAGGGGATCGAGGCAGAGGTGAGGGTCAGAGATAGAGGTGGGACCTGGGAGTGTTTCCTTTGAAATGAAGGCAAGCTGAAGGCATGTGCTTGAAATGTGCATAGAGTGCATATTTAAGTTGAGCAGAACAACTCAGAAGAAACCCTCAAAAATTTATCAGTCTAAAGGCTTAGAAGTACAAGTGGTGCAACAGTACTTACTCTGGGCTGCATGAACGTGGACAGCGAGGGGTTCCAGGAGAGCAGGGGAGAAGGAGGCAGGTGGAAAGGGTCATCCTATGTGCTGGGTTAGCACTGCAGATTCATAGGAAGCATCATCAGAGTAAAAAGACCTGAGAAACACTTCAATGGATGAACAGTGTGTCCAGGGTATGGGTAATGTGGTGTGTTCCTTGGAAAAACATTTCGTAATAGAACTGTATCCATGTATAGTGTCTTATTTAGCCACCACTGAAGTAGGAAGGATTCATCACATTACCAAGTTTACTAAAAACAAATCATGTCGTGCAAATCACTGAGAAACATATATCTGATGTTTGTTGTGTAATCTTTCAGGAGATAAAAAAGTTTATCAAAGAGGTTTCTGAGAAGATCAAGAAGACCAGAGATAAATATGGCATCAACGACAACGGCACAACAGAGGTAGTGGCCCTCCCCAGTGGGTCAGGAGATGCAGAGGGTTCCCCGCGCTGCTGGCCCTGACCTTGAACTTGGCTTTTGTACCTCTAGCCCCGTGTGCTGTACCAGTTGGACCGGATCACCCCAACCCAAATAGAGAAGTTTCTGGAGACATGTAGGGACAAGTACATGAGGTGAGGATGCTAAATGTCTCAGGCTGCCGGGCAGTCCAGTGGGTCTCTTGCATCCTTCCTGTTTCCCTAGGAAACAGAATCCTATGCCCACTTCACTTACCAACTGCCAGCCTTGAGCAGGTTCTGTCACCTCCTCTCTAGGGGCTCCAGTGGGTAGACAGGCTGAGTGCTCCAACGTGTGGAAAGAAGCGAAAGAAATTTCCGCGCATCGTCTTTTCATAGGGAAACTACCAATATATTTGGCAAGGGCTGGCTGCTTTGTCCACCTGCAGTACCATGTGTGAGCAGAGCTCTTAGGTCTTCTCCAGTCATCCCACGCTGACCACAAGTAGCCACACTGTGTTCACTGTCATCGTTGGACCCCTCTGAGCATTACTCCTCCTCATCTGTACCTGTAACTGATCTGTGTCCATTTCTTCCTCTGTCACAAACCCAACCTGGGTCCTTGCCAATTCCTTCCTGACCCTGACGGCATACATATTTTTTTCTGTTGAAAGGAGATAATCAGAAACCTCCCCAGCAATTTTGGGGTTTTAGTTTTTTCTTCTTGTTTTTGGCCATGGCACAAGGCTTGCAGGATTTTAGTTCTCTGACCAGGGGTTGAACCTGGCCCCAGCAGTGAAAGTACAAAGTTCTAATCACTGGAGTGCCAGGGAATTCCCTGGTTTTGTCTTTTAATTGAGGTATAGTTGACCTGTATGTAAAAGTATATAAAATGGGTATATTTAAATGGGCTTTATATAAGATAATTGCATCTCTTTTGTTTAATTGTATTATGGAGTAGGGGCTTCCCAGGTGGCTTAGTCATAAAGAATCCTCCTGCTAAGCAGGAGACTTGGGTTCAGTCCCTGGGTCAAGAAGATCCCCTCAAGAAGGAAATGGCCACCCATTCAGTATTCTTGCTTGGGAAAATTCCATAGAAAGAGGAGCCTGGCGTGCTGCAGTCCATGGGATCGCAAAGGGTCGGACACAATTTGGCCAACTAAACAAACAACAGATAGTTGACCTACAACATTATGCAAGGTTCAGATGCAAACATAGCAATTCAATATTTGTATATATTGCAAAAAGATCACCATGGTACATCTGGTTACCATCTGCCACCATACAAAGATACTGTATCATTATCAACTGTACATTTCATCCTTTCTTGTTTCAGGGCACAGATGGAGCCAGGTTCCGCGGTGGGTGCACTCTGTGCTCAGAGCATTGGCGAGCCAGGCACCCAGATGACCCTGAAGACTTTCCACTTTGCAGGCGTGGCCTCCATGAACATCACCCTGGGCGTGCCCCGCATCAAAGAGATCATCAACGCCTCCAAGGCCATCAGGTGCCCTCATCCATCTCCCTCTTTTTCTCACACTTGTCTGTCATGTCCTGGAGAAACAACATTTCTCTTGTCACAAGTGGGTGTGTGATAGATGCTAGCAGACAGTACCTCAGACTCTGGAGTGACACTTGCTAGTGTTAACCCAAGACAAAATGTCCAAACTGGAGAGAGTCAAAACTGAAGCAATGGTTCTTTGTGACCACAAGTCACATGAAAGAGAGAAACCTAAAAAAATGCCTGGAAAAATTGGAACCATATTTCATTGTAGACTTCATCCATTTGATGTTATTATTCCCAGCTTCACTGGTCCTGATGATGTGTCTGTGACTCGATTTGTGGCCATATTCTGTGACAACACTCCCCCAGCCCAAATCCCACCCCCTTGGTGATTTCATGATAGAATTTGTAGGTGACCTGAAACTAGGAAAGATAAAAATATTTTATAGCACATTCAGTGACAAAATCATGTCTTACCTATGATCTGAATGTAACTAAATACATTAAAGGAGAGAACGTTATACTTGGTTCTGGAAAAGCACCTGTCCATGTCCAGGGTGGCATAGCACATTCAGTGACAAAATCATGTCTTACCTATGATCTGAATGTAACTAAATACATTAAAGGAGAGAACGTTATACTTGGTTCTGGAAAAGCACCTGTCCATGTCCAGGGTGGCATAGACAAAGTATTGTCCACTGACCACCTCCTCTAGGTCAGTCAGATCACTGAGGAGTGTGCGTTCAGGGGATGCCATCCAGGATGGCAAGGGTGGAAGCTGCTAGCTAGTAGCTGGAGGAGCCGGAGGTGTCCTAGAGGGGAGGTTGTGGGGGTGGAGTGGGGTAAGCTATAAGTGATGTGATTTTGTCACTGCGTATGCCATAGTATACAAACCTGTAGTATACAAAGGGTCAGTTTACTCGGGGAACAGCTGAAATAACTACGTGTTAGGACCAAAGGGAAAAGGTAGGTTTGCTTGGCCAGGGAGACTGTTCTGAAAGTCACTCACTCACCAATGGAGTGGATTGCCTCATGAGCACGGGTGTGTGCAGCCCTCAGTGAGGACTGCGCCTGACTCCAGTGAACGCTCAGTACAGTAAGCTGCAGTTGCTGTTAAGATTACAAACGCACCCGGGCTTACCACAGTGTGGTCTTCAAGCAGCCTCGTAATCCTTTGCCCTTCCTGCCCACAGCACTCCCATCATCACAGCACAGCTGGACAAGGACGACGATGCAGATTACGCTCGTCTGGTGAAAGGGAGAATTGAGAAAACCCTCTTGGGAGAGGTAAGACGAAATCCCTCTTGATAATAAGAAAATTGAACCAGCTGTATTGCCAGGACGTGTGAGAACCACTTGTAGTGGATTTACCAATCCGTGTGCCCATGCTGCTCTGTGTCCTTAAAGGAGAGAGGGAGCCTCCTCTGCTCTGAGGGACAGGGAAGTGACTGACGGATGTTCCGATCTTTTGACACCGCAGATTTCAGAGTATATTGAAGAAGTGTTTCTTCCTGATGATTGCTTCATTCTCGTCAAGCTCTCCCTAGAACGGATCAGACTTCTGAGGCTGGAAGTGAGTCCCGTAACTACATGCGTGAAGGAAGTCATCCCCTTTCAGTCCCAAGACAGGTGCTGATGAACGAGGGCAAGAGCTATGCATAGCACGGGAAGCCCCAAAGAGGCTTCCGCTTGTTGTCTGTCCTCTGGATCTGTTGTACCTCCACATTCTGTCTACCCCTGGCCCTGGCACAGACATCACCACCTAGAGACACGCAGGAAATTAGTGGAGGTGGTGTGCGGACCACAGTGCCTATTTGCTGTGATACAGCATGCCGGCAGGTGGAAGGACCGTGCTGCCAGCTGTGTCTTACCCACCTGTGGCCCCCCAGCGCAGCAGTGGCTGGCTCAGGATATGTGGGTTGACCTGGCTGCTTCTTATTGGCATTTATAAACGGGTAACAGTGGCAAAACGGACGTAGGAGGGGTGGGTGGTAGGATCTACTTTCTTAGTGAATAAAGCAGAGGTGTACATATAGTACATACGTACATATGTATGTCTGGTATTAAAATGTCACAGTACCAAAAAAGACATGATGAGGAGAAAGATTGGGGGGGAAATAGTTAAAAAGGTTCCTTAGTGGGGCAGGATGCTGAAAGGCCAAGAAACACAGAAGCCACAGCCTCCAAGTCCCGCCAGTCACATCCTGGGCGTGCGGCCCCTCGCAGGTGAACGCTGAGACGGTGAGGTACTCCATCTGCATGTCCAAGCTGCGCGTGAAGCCCGGCGACGTGGCCGTGCACGGGGAGGCGGTGGTGTGTGTCACCCCCCGGGAGAACAGCAAGAGCTCCATGTACTACGTGCTGCAGTTCCTGAAAGAGGACCTCCCCAAGGTGGGCCGCAGGTCGCCTCCGCAGGTGGGCGGGCCTGCCGCCTGGTGGTGCCTGAAGGGAGGGAGCACGGTCATGTCTAAGCTGCAGAGCCAGGCATCAGGGAGCGAGAGGGCTGCCGAGGCTGAGGGTGGCGCCCTGTTCCTCCGTTGCTTTGCCACATCCCCGAGGAGTCAGGCAGCTTCAGGTTTCCTCCTTCACACTGCCTCACCGTTCTGCCTATTCAGCTTTTCTCTGTTCTCTCATAAAACTGGTGGTGGAAGAGGGCACGACCCCTTGAGCTTCTCTTCCCCCCGTCCCCACCCGCCAGCAGCTCAGGCAGCACACAGGCACTCCCAGCTTTGGCGTGTTCCTGGCAGTCACCTCTGAGAGATGGGGTGATCACGACCACACACCCAGGCTGTGACACCCCCAGTCCTCGCAGCCACTGTGGTTTCTGGCTGCTGGGTGTGTGGGGCCGTACCCGCTGCGGGGTCTCGAGCCCTCTGTGTCTCTGAGTCCAGGTGGTGGTGCAGGGCATCCCGGAGGTGTCCCGAGCTGTCATCCACATCGATGAGCAGAGCGGGAAGGAGAAGTACAAGCTCCTGGTGGAGGGTGATAACCTGCGGGCCGTCATGGCCACCCACGGCGTGAAGGGCACCCGGACCACCTCCAACAACACGTACGAGGTACCGCTCACAGCCGAGGTTCCTACAGTCATCCCAGCTCCCTCCCAGCACATTCCTCTAACCCTACTGTTCACTCTGGGTCTGCACCGAAGACTACCCCACACTCCATCTCTGGGGAGGGATACAGGGTGCTGGGAACCTGCAGGGCAGAGGAGGATATGAGGGCAAGTTGGGGAGCCCTGGATGTGGCTGCCTCCATTCATCTCTGCCCTCCGCAGGTGGAGAAAACCCTGGGCATCGAAGCTGCCCGGACAACTATCATCAACGAGATCCAGTATACAATGGTCAACCACGGCATGAGCATCGACCGGCGGCACGTGATGCTGCTGTCCGATCTCATGACCTACAAGGTGCGTGGGGGCCTCGTGGCTGCTATCGCAAACCTGGTGCCAGGAGCGCGAGGCTTGGAGAGCGTATGTGGTGCGTGGCTGTGATGACCACCATTACCCCAAAACCAGAGTACGGTCCAGCTGGACATGCTGGTAAAATTCCAGTGTGAGAAGTGCAACCTCATGGCAAGAGGCAGGGCGCGGTTTCTATCCTAAAGGAAAATTAGCCATTGCCAGAAGCCTAAGGATTCCGTGACAGCCTGAGGTTTATGTCCTGTCGAACCCATTTCTCATACTTCTATAGCCATTTCTAGGTGAAAATCTCCCTGGGCAACTGAATTTGGTTGGCTGGTTGGTTTTTGTTTTTGTCTTATACCAAAAATCTTCCCTCTATCAGTGCCATAAGGCATGATGCCTCCACAGACAAACTTGTACTGTATTGCAGCAAATTCAGAAACTCGGTGGGAGAAGTGACCTATTTCCTGCCACCCTGTAGTAAAAACAGTCATTTTAAAGCCTTCCTTTCCATTTTTGTTCTGTACGCATATATCAGATTACTACAGGTAAACAGTAAAAATGAGCATGTCATTTTTACTGAACATTATAAGTATTTTCCACATTGCTATGTAGTTTTATAAAGATACTTTTTTAATGCTGGTTCAATATTCCTTTGAATGAAAGTACCTAAATTTACTTGTTTCCCTACTTTGAGGTTTTTAAGTTATTTGAGTTTTTATTTCTTTGAGCCATAAGAAACATCTTCAGAATTTTTTTTTTCTTTTAGGGAGGAGGGGTGCAATTTAGTTCCCCAACCAGGATTTGAACCCAGACCCTCAGCAGTGAAAGTACAGAGTCCTAATCACTAGACCACCAGAAAATTCCGTACTTCTCAGTTTTTGTTTAGTTCATTTGCATTGGCGAATAGTTGATTTACAATGTTGTATTAGTTTCTGTTGTATAGCAAACTGAGTCAGTTATACATACAAATATATCCACTCTTTAGTTTCCAGTTCTCAATTCTTTGTTGAGTGTCAGGATCTGTGCTGTCAGCGCCAGTGGCCTCAGAGGAACACAGGTGGGACAGATGGTTGTCAGGGTCCTTCTCAAACCTGGACTGTGACTTGAGCAGCAGCCTGGCTGCCTCTTCATCTGTTGGGGGGGGTGCAGGGGCTGCGTTCTGTACCTGGCGGAGTCCCCACTCTGGCGCTCTCCCTCGGCACAGGGTGAAGTCCTGGGCATCACCAGGTTTGGCCTGGCCAAGATGAAGGAGAGCGTGCTGATGCTGGCCTCATTTGAGAAGACGGCTGACCACCTCTTTGACGCTGCCTACTTTGGGCAGAAGGACTCTGTGTGTGGTAGGTTTGGTGCTTGCAGCAGCCTCACCAGAGGCCTTTGTGGGTTTTCGTTGGTGTTTCGTTTTGTTTTTTACAGTTTAAACCATGGCCAGGGCTTCTCTAGAGGTGGAGAAACTGAGCAGGCAGAGGTTTGACTTGTTTAAGAATAAAGTCGCATCTCACAGAATTGGAGCTAACAAAGCCTGACTGTGGCAGCCTGCATCCCCCGCATCCTTTAGAAGGCCGCTCAGTCTTCTGGACATGTAGGTCGCCCCTGGGCATGTAGGAATTTTCTAACCCTCAGAAGGAGAGTCAGCCACTCTGGTCCTGCCCCAGGCGCTCCTGCCATCCCAACTCCCTGAGCAAGGCAGCTGGCACGCTTCCACCGGCTGCCTTGCATGCCATCTCGGCACGTTGCTGAGGCCTGGGTGTCAGCCCTTTCACGGTGAGAAGACCCAGGGCACTAGCTCGTTATGAGTCTCGCCCTGCGCTGGCCCGCTCTCCCCACACGTAGCCTCTCTGACAGGCCTAGGAGAGAGGGAGCCGAGGGGTGGCCGTCACAGCGGAGCGCTGCTCGCCCCGCCCCAGGGTGCCCGCTCTACTCCAGCCTTTCCCGTGCCACGGCAAGGCCCTGTGGCCTGAGCTGCGAGTCTGTCTGGGGCTCAGACAGCGACGCCACACCTGGCCCCCGACGCTGCTGCTGGAGCCCTGCGTCCTCGTCCCATTTCCCCGCTCACCTCCTTGTGTGGAGTCACCGCCCAAGGTGATGGTCAGATGGGACCCAGGCAGTGTACGCCTAGTTTTTGCTTCTAAGATTAGGGTCGCAGGTTGCAGATAGAGGGAAAGAGAAATCACACAGTTCTTTACTATAACGAAGGGTGAAAGGAAAGAAAAGAAGGCAGAGATGGGGGCAGGAGAAGGGCAAGCCCCAGGCAAAAGTGAGAGCGAGCCTGTTTGCAGGACTGAGACCCAGCACCTCCACTCCCCGACAAGGACACTGGGCCCCCGGCTTGGCTGCTGCCCTGCTGCCCACCCTCTCCACCTCTGACTCCTTTAGGGGCCTGGCGTGGTCATCCTGCCCCAACTTTAAAATCTCCTGGTCCTTTGCATGTTGTAACTCAGTGTCAGCCCTCACTCTGTGTTGGGTTTTAGTTTGATTGCCTCTCTGGCCCCTGATAGCACAAAGCCCAGAACATAGCAGATATACACTTGCTTATTATAGAACCAGAAGCCTCACGCAGAGCCCAACATTTAGATCTCAGAAAGCTGAAAGGGAGCTTGGAGAAAGAATCTACACTGTGGCCTAACTCCTGTCACTCCATGAGGGGCCCTGCCTTCTTAGTGTTTCTGATTCAAGCTGTGGACTCCGAGGTTGGGGTGTTGTTAACCTTGGCCCACCCCCGACCCCTGGGCACAGAACAGATCAGTGCTGCTGTTTCCATGGGGATTGGCATCTGCTCGTTGCAGTCGCAGTTGCTTGTTCCCTGGGCCCTAAGTTAAGGACATGCTGGGTGGCAAGCATCATTTAGTGTATCTTTGCTGTTTGAGTTTAGTGCTGAAAGGTGAGGCCCACAGGATGCCTATAGCTGAAGCACAACGGCTGCTAAGCCAGCAGCAGGGCTGTGAGTGAGCACTTCCTTCAGCCAGATGCAGGAACTCCCCCAGCCTGCCCAGGAGCACCAGGCCGTGCCTTCCGCATCCATAGATGAGTAAAGTGAGCAACCCCAGTTCAACACGTCAGGGCTGGGACTCCAAGTCAGTCTCTCTGTCCTGCTTGAAGACTTGCCCAAGTGTGGAGAAGCTCTCACCTCCTTTCTGGTTGGTTTCAGGGGTGTCTGAATGCATCATCATGGGGATCCCCATGAACATTGGAACTGGACTCTTCAAGCTGCTCCACAAGGCCAACAGGGACCCCAGCCCTCCCAGGAGGCCCCTCATCTTCGACACAAGCGAATTCCACATCCCCCTTGTCACCTAGTCCAGGGAAGAGGGGGCTGTTCCTGATCTTGGCTCCTTGTCAACTGGAAAAGGGCTGGAGGCCAGCAGCCAACCCATGACCTTTGTGCTCCCCGGGACCGAGGCCCTGCTGCGCCCACCATGCTGGCTGTTGGAGAAGGTTCCCGGAGTCCTGGGAGCCACTCATCCCATGACCCCAACCATAGCACAGTGCTTGGTGGGGTAAACCAGGATTTTTCTGTCTGTTTGAAACCTGCTTAATCTGGGGACAACTCTGCACCTCCTGCCCACCCCACCTCCATGGACTTGTGAGGAGGCCCCAGCCAAGCATCTCTGCTCATTTCCACCTCCCCTGTCCCTCCATCCACTCACAGGGGTCCCAACCTGACCAGGAGCCAGTTCCCAGCCCTAAAGCCAGGGCACATCTCAGTTCTTCTGTTCCCCGGTCATGCTGGCCTCTCCCAATGTGACATACTAATGTAAATATTGTTCGTATTATTTATTTGTTCACTGAAGAATTTGGAGTTTTTATTGTTATTTTAGTTTTCCTTTTGAAACCCAAGAAGCTGTGGAAACCAAGAGAGCCAGCTTTGAAGCATCACTGGAAAAACTGGTTAAGCAAATGGGGCTGTCTGGGATTTGAAACTGAGTTGAAACTGTCATGAGGCCAAGCTGCTCTCAAACACCTTTTGCAGACACCCCCACCACCCCCTTTTTGTCTATTTCCAATGCCCATGGGGGCACATGAGTCAAACTCATTCTTTGTGGCTTGTAGAAGCCTCTCCAGAGTTTACCGCCGGCTGAGGCGGGGACTCCCGGTGTACATGGAGATGAAAAGTGGAACTGGTCCAGACCCTCTGCACTGTCTGGGGGGCATCCATACTCTTCCTGAGGAATCCACACGTGTGCCTTGCCTCCTGCAGCCGAGGCGCACACCAGATAGGTGCAGAACCAGAGGCCTAGAAAGTGCCCCAGGAGCCTGGCATGAGAGGGCCCTCTGGGTGCAGGCAGGCACCAGCTCTCAGGGGTGAAGCGGTCACCCAGACAGGAAGGGTGGGGCCCGCACAGGGGTGGGCACCCGCTGGAGTTGACGTTCCCCAGGTGGCAGCAGCAGGTTTCTCAGAGGACATCTGTGATGATAACACACGTGGGGCTGTGAGGAGGGACCTGGCAGGGTGTCCCAGAAAGACCCGTGTTTCACTGCCTGGTTGGGCTTCTGCCAGTGACTGCGCCATCCATTGTTGATGGGGTTTCCAAGGCTTACAAGGGGGTTTTGTGAAACACCAGGAAGAAACGTACATAGCTTGTCTTCCAGAGAGCACAGGGATTTGCTCACAGAGACGGTGGTTCTTTGTGCCGAATTTGCTCCTTGGGATTGGCCTGGGGCCACAGAGAAGGATCTGTGGCGGCCACAGCTCTCCTCTAAGAACGTTGTGTGGAGCCAGTTCTTCCCTTCCCTGCCCAGAGCCAAGCTGCTCACTCTGGCTTTTCCTTCCCTCCCTGGGGGCCTTGGAAAACCTAGACTGCTTGGTCAGAAGTGAGATGATATAAAATATGGAGCTTTGACCCGGTTTTCTGGATCCCTGCTCTTGAGAAGAAGATCAACCTCTGAAACAATAGCTGGTGCATCTCGGTGTATTAAGCTACTGGAAGACACAACAGTACAGGCCAAAGAGATGAGCATCTATTTTTGAGTGAGAAGATGGTTTGGATGATTAAAGAGGGTGTGGTAAAAGAAAAAGGGGAGGCTCAAAGAATTCAAGCAGTATTTTATAGAATTACATTCTTTGGTCATTCCCTAGTTGAGTCCTCACCTTCTGAGTTAATGCTGCTAAGGTACTCTGCAAAGCCCTGGGTTCCTGGGTGCGTGTTTGGAATGAGTGCTTTTTTCCCCATACTGACATAAGTTAGGAGTTCTTGAGTTATTTTTTGTCAATGCTTAGGTTTCAATTCTACCAAAGTGAGTCTGGGCTTCCCAGGTGGCACAGTGGTAAAGAATCTGCCTGTCAATGCAGGAGACACGAGAGACGTGGGCGTGATCTCTGGGTCAGGAAGATCCCCTGGAGGTTATGGCAGCCCACTCCAGTATTCTTGCCTGGAGAATTCCATGGACAGAAGCCAGGCAGGCTACAGCCTGTAGGGCCACAGAGTCGGACACGACTGAACGCAAAATTAGTTTGGCCCCACACCTATGAGGTTAACCTACAAAGGTTAGGTTGCCAGGTTAGGGTTAGGGTGCCAGATATGAAAAAAAAAAAAAATGCCATTTTTCACATTTAGCTCCCCCTGTGTCTTTGAACTGACCTGGCCTAGTTTAAGACAAATGGTTGAGTCCGTTAATAATGCTTATCCAGGTTTGCCCTGTGAAGCCTCACAATGGACCCTGCTTCTCTCACCCAACCTGCCAAGAGCCACAAGACTGGCTTCCTAAAAACTGGGAAGTAACTCCTGGGCTACACATGAGGGCCAGGAGGGTGGAATTGTGTGATGGAAGGGACCACCAGTGCCCGCCTCACTCTATGTGACACAGAAGTTGGAGAGACCATGGCCACACTGTGCTGCTGTGAGTGACGAAGGCGGCACCTCTAGGAGCCTGGCCTGGTCTCTGGCAAACACTGACTCCCTGGGTGAGGCATGTGGTTGCAGTGGATACAGGCTCTGGGTTGGATTCAGACTAGCACGTGGTTCTGGGAAGGGGCACACCCCCAGTGACTGAGGTACCCTCGCCAGCAGCCCTGCCACCCTAGGCGGTGTTGACTGGTAAACCCTGCTCTGGGTTCCCCAGGGCACATCCTAGGGGCGGGAGTTAAAATTCCCCCTAATCTGATCATCTGCCCTGGCCTCGGGCTTTGTGCAAACACAAACCACTCAAATAGCAGTGTATACTGAAGATTGAGCTCAACAGAAGGTTAGGATTTTATTCTGGCCTATTTGGAAGAAATAAGGGAAACATTTAAATTCTGCCTCATCCATTAACAGACACGTATTTCTGACTGGTGATCTGTCCAGTCCTTGACCCTTTTTCCATCCTTTGTACATAGGGATCAAAATAGTGACTGACTCAGTTACAGCCCCGCCCCACTTTGTTCAGCACTTTGGGGGCGGGAGAGACATTCTGGAGTCTTCCAGTGTCTGTCAGATCAGAGTTAAATACAGTGCTATGTTTCTATTTCAGGGTCTGTCCACGTGTATTCACACTGATGAATGTCTGATTCAATCTGACACTATGTGATAATTTTTTCTTAAGTTTCTGTTGTCTCTTGGCAGAACTCTTATTTTTCTATCAAAACTCAAAAGAAGGAAATGTACTATACAAAAAAGTGTAACAGTTCATCCCTGAGGGTTATGAAACGGGGTGATAGGGTTATAGATGGGCTTCAACTCCTGAAACCTTAATGTTCCTGCTGCAGGCCCACCTCTAAAGGTAAGCAGTAGCACCCAGGCCCCTCCCACTGCATGTGACTAATTCAAACCCAGTGAATTGCAGGGCAGTGTCCCCCACACCCACCCTCTAGAGATGCCACCTGGCCAGGATCAGGTATCTAGCTTGACTTCATTCATTCAATTAGTAAAGACCTGCTTTTTCCAAAGTCTTGTTCTGGTACTGAAAGTACAACAGTAGACCAAACAGGTAAATCAGATACTAACACATCTAGAAACAATTCTTTGGCTGAAGGGGATGGGGGCAACAAAAATGTGTCCAACACAGTCTAGGGTTGAAGCTTCATAATTGAGAGCCTGGCTCCTGTGGGCAGGCTCAGCACATGAGGCCTCACCAGAGCAAAGAGGAAGGTCCCTCTGAGCTAGCACAGCCCCCAGGTTCCAGCCCCTCCCTAGAGGGCCCTCCATGCCTCACTGGCCTCCTTCCCTTGGGCTTGGGTTCTGGAGGTCATGTGCCCTGGGCAGAGGACACCTGCCTATGGTCACTGGGGAAGGATGCTGTCATCCTTTCCCCACCACCAACATGCAGAGTTAATAAGCAGTATTATGCTTTTGTTCTGGCCCAGGTGGTATGCTGGACCCTCAGAGAAAGTCCCTGTATGCATGGGGTTTACCATCTGCTTGGGGTCATCTTGTGGTTAAGAGCCTGGGTTCTGTGATCAGACTGTCAGAATTCAAATCCCAGTTTCCCCTTTTTATCTGGTGACCTTGAGCTAATGACCTAGCCTCTCTGCCTCTACTCATTTATAAGATAGAAGTGTCATCTATTGGTAGCTAAGTCATAGGGCCATTGTGAGTTTCAACATGACTATGCATATAAGGTCTTGGTACAGCTTGGCACACAGAGGATGTGCTCATTAAGTATCTTTGCAGTTGTGATGACTATCACTATTTTCACTGAAAAACATGCTCTGTGAATTCACAAGGAAAACCCAATCCTTTGACGCTTTTTAATTTACTTGGATGGAGTTGTCTGTGGCTTTGGAAATTAGGCCTCCCTGGATATAACTCCTGCTTCACTCTCTGCTCAGTCAGTAGATTCCAGGAAGTATTTCACACCAGGGACAAAGAAGGCTTAGAAAGGGGACTGACACTTAGCAGCCGTGTGGATCAGAGCTCGAACATTTTCATTTAGGCCATAAAGTAAATATGATCTCATTTTAAGAATTGTGGGGGGAAAAAAAAGGAATTGTGGGTAGTAATACCAGATCACTCAGAGGCTGATTACAGAGAGATGCAGATATTGATATGCTTATTTATATAGGTGCATTATATAACAGGGCCTGTAGTGCATGAGACGCAGGTTCGATCCCTGGGTTGAGAAGATCCCCTGGAGGAGGGCATGGCAACCCACTCTAGTATTCTTGCCTGGAGAGTGCCATGGACAGAGAGCCTGGCAGGCTACAGTCAGTAGGATTGCAGAGTCAAATAACAACTGAAGTAACTTAGCACGCACACACATCCCACTCTTTAAAAGAGAGTTTGCCACTGAAAAATCATCAGCAAAAAATATTGCCAATAAGAAATTGGTAATATTGGCCACTTTACTTTCCACTCTGTTCTGTTGTACCTTTCTAATGT